ACTGATCAATTTTCAGGAAATATGCAGCATGTCACCATCAAAGGGGGTCCTGAGTGTGATGGCTGCATGAAACAGCAGGTGTATGAAAGAGGGGAACACCCAGACGGTGCGGGTGGGGGATATGATGGCCCGGCCCACTCACAAGGCCTAAAGTAAGAGGCAAATGCCCCAGGACGCTGGACTGGGCACTGAGGGTGGTGGAAGGAGCCCTCAGTCCAACGCCTATCTCGGATCCGTAGAGCAGAGACACTTTGTTCAAGGCATGTAAAACTTCTACCTCTTCATTTCCCTCAGTAGCAAGGGGAGAGGTGGGGTTTCTGTTTCCTTCCTGACAAGAGGAAAAAATGCTTTGTAAACTGCTGAGTGAAATATAAATGTAAACCATCATTATTATTATTACAGTAGTGATATCCTTAATAAAAACTCCAGGAAGCCCAAGTGACCCAATTTTATTTTTGCACATTGTCCACTCTACTTGGATACAAGAAAGAAAAAAAATCAGTAACAATCTAAGAGAAGGTTATTAAAAAAAATTTTTTCATGACAAGGCCTGGGATCAGACAGATTCATTCCAATCTCCTCTGCCTTCTTGGGGTTTCTAAAGTACCTGACAAGGACCATTTTCCAGACTTATTCATATAATTCACTTTCACAAATTCTGGAGTTCATTCAAACCCAGACCCAAGAAGCTTAAAATCTGTGTCTTCTGTGAATCCACACAACACACCTCATGCCAGGAATATACTCTCTCTTCAATTCCATCTCTCACATTCCTCACCTCCCTTCAAAGCTCAGTTCTAACTCCCATCACCTCCCCTCTTCATTCCTCCCCTGTCCTCTCCTCCTCTCTCTTCTCCTCTCCTCCCCTTTTCCCCTCCATCAAACTCTGTGAAACCTTCCCTGAAATCCACAAGTTATGTAAGTTATATTAGAATGAAACCTGCATGTTTAGGTCAGACCATCAATATGTTAATTCATTTATCACCACTTAAATTGTGGGTTATCCAGATTTTCTCACTAAATATGTCCAAATGAAATAAAATAAACCAAAGCTAAAATAGAATATTGGCTAAATAAATGTAAAAATGAAACAAACATCTTGAAAAGTCATAGCTGACTCACAGGCATAAAAGAGGACAGATTTTTGTAAACATTTTTAATCTGGTGTCAAATAAAGGACAACTATGGCCAACAATTATCTTATTGGAGTAAATTCCATTATACAAATATGAAGTTGTAGTTAGGCTTTAAAGACTTTTAGGTCTAAACTTAACAATAGTAACTTGTGTTTCTGTCATTGATGAAAGGGAAAAAATACACAATGTAACTTGCAGGGAAAGGGGAAATCTCCATGATAAATTTTCACACACTTCTTTTAAAAGCCACCTTTAGAAGCTGAACCATATCATTTCATTATCCAGCCTTAGCAGACACAGCTGTTAATAAAATCCTGAAGTACAAAAAAAAAATCCACAAGTTATGAGAGCTCCCTCAATTTTCCCAGAATTTCCCAAGTCTACTGGAGAAGGAAATGGCAAACCACTCCAGGATCTTTGCCAAGAAAATCTCAAAGGGGATCACGAAGCGTCAGACTGACTGAAAAGTGACTGAACGACAAGAAGTTTAGTTGTATTGTTATATTTATTCAACCAATAAACGACAGGCCCAGCGCTGGGTGCTGAGGACCCAAACACAGCACACACAATGCCTACAAACATGGAGCTTCCAGGAAGGTGTACGCACACTATGTGAGGCACCATGAACACTGAGGACAAGCCCTGCCCTGGAGGGGCTTACAAGCTCCAGGGTGAGAAGGGGCCTAAGTTAAGGAACAATCCAGGAGATGCCCCAAGGCATCATGAACAATTGGGTAAACAATTTGGGCCAAGTTCAGAAGACGTTAAGTTCATTTTTAGCTTAGAGGGGCCAGAAGAAGCTTCATGTAGGCGAAAGACCAGAGCTGGGCCTGCCAGGAAGTCCAAGATCTGGAAGGCAAGGGAACAGTGGGAGCCAAACGGACTACAGGACCTCGACAGCCTTTCCAACAGGAAAGTTAAATGCCTAAGTCATGTGCACAGGACACAGTCTGTCCAAATCAGAGGTTTCAGGCAAATCACAGGTCCTTAGAGCTGAAGGGACCTTACCTATCATCTAATCCAATGCCTTCATTTTTCAGATCTGAGACCCAGACCTAAGTGACTTTACTTGCCCAAGATCACACAGCTAACAATTCTCATAAACTTAGAATGACAGAGTCCAACGCATCTCTGGGATCATCTAGTTAGGAAACTCGGGTCTTCCGGGCAATCCAAGGCCCCTTCTTCCACAGGAGGCTGGGAAGACAAGTGTAGGAACCCGATGGGGAGACACTTTGAATGCAACATCAAACTACATCCTGCAAACCAATGTGCCCCACTTGTTTGAAAACTAGGGATCCACATATGGAACACAAGCTCACCAGAAAATCCAATTCCCCAGAACAGTATCTTCCTTAGAGTCGTATGTCAGGGTACCACCATAAGAGAAGGGCTGTGGAATCCAAAGACCTGCCTTCAGTACTTCCTAGAAGGACGACTTTGGACAGGTTACTCTACTGAAGCTCACTTGCTTATCTGTAAAATGGGGTTTTAAGCCTGTTACGAGAAAAGTGTTGAAAACCTTAAGGGCCCACAGGAATGTGAATCACCAGCTACCATAACATGAACCTCAATAATCTGGAATTTGCCTGATTGCTGTTTAAGGAGCAGGATATGTTTTGTGGAAACAACCTCACCCGAAACACAAGCCTTTAGCATAACCCCTAAAATGCAGCACTGGAGATGACTCCAGGGGAGCCAACAGGTGCAAAACATGTTCATGGAAACCAAAACCTGCTTGAATAGCGGCACTGGGACACCACATTTGCTGCAAATGACAAGGGTTTGAAAAAAGTGACAGCAGCCCGATTTTCTCCCCTCCCCACCGGACCCCATAACAGAATCTCAAGGGGCCATCTAGTCCAACTCTCCATGGAAATGATACTCAACATTTGGTCAAAGGCCTCCAAGACAGAAGAACCCAGCTGCCTCCTAGGGCAGGCCATTCTACTTTTGGAGAGCTTTAAATAAAAGTGAGGATTTTTTTTCATTTGCACCAAGTTTAAATTTGTTTTTCTGCTATTTCTACCTGTGACTCCTAATTCTGCCTTTAGAGACCCAGAAGAGCAGGTCTCTTCCTCTTCTGTGCCCCCAGGCTGCCCCAAGGCAGGCTAAACGTTTCCTGTGCCTTCATCCAGTCTTCACGCAGCATGAACACAGGACTCTTAACCAACCTGGTTTCCATCCTCCAGATCTCTCCATCTTATCAATGTCCTTACTAAAATGTGGAGCCTAAGAAGGAACCCAGACTTGGAGATGTTATTGAAACAGGGTCATGTGAGCCTCAGGTTATCACACTCCTCCCTTTATAACCAAAGACTGCAATAACATTCTTAGCAACTGGATCCCCAAGATCTGACAAAGTGCTATGGAGCTGTGTGCCCATCATCTTGTACTCATGAAGGTGACTTTTTGAACCCAAGTGTAGGACTTTTTATTCATCCTTATTAAGGTATCTTCTATTGGGCCCACTGTTTCTAGCCCATCAAGGTATGTTTAAAACCCGTCCTGATACACACCATCTAGGATTCTATTCAAATCACAGATAAAAATGTGGAGCCACATAGGGCTAAGGACAGAGCACTTCGGCCCTTCAAGGGAGACTTCTATTAAGGTTGACAGGGAACCAGTAATGATGCTCAAAAGCCACTCAATTTTATTACTCAGTGTACACCTCTCCATCTTTTCTACAAGAATAGTATTCAGGATTCTGAAATGCACTGCCAAGAACTACGTTAACTATGTCTACAGAGTTCCCTTGATCTACCAATTGAGTAACCTTATAAGAAAGGGCGGAGGGAGAAATGAAGACGGCCTGGCCTGTTCTTTGGTCCATGCAAATCTTTGAACTCACAAATCTCATTATGATAACCACTGGTCTCTTTCTTACGAAATCCAATGGCTTTTTTTTAAAGTGAATTGTACATTTGTTAAAACAAAACAGAACATAATCTTGTATTTTCCCCCTCCCCCCACGGTTAATACCGATGTCCTCGGGGATTATTTCAGGTGTGACTTTTGTTCCTACATCACCTCAAACTTCTGTGGTCTTTGAATTGTGTCTGATTTTTATGGATTTTCCCCCTCCCCTCTTCTGCTTTCAGGATGTCAGATGACAGGCAGGGTTTCTGTATTTAGCAGACACTTGGCCTCCTTTAATTTTTTAATTCTTCTGAGTAGGAGCAGAGATGGTTTTAACATTCTCTTTGTGCCCTCGACTGGCCCACGGTGGACACTTCATGCACAACTGGCTTCTGAACCGAGTTTTTCTGCCCTCCCCTCATCCCAGACTCCTAAAGTAAATGCTTTATTTCCCCCTATTCTAACTCACTGAAGACCCTTCCTGGCCAGTCCGTCTTAAAATTCCTCGATTGCTGATCCAGGGTCTTTTTAAATCACTCAGGGTTGAATAGAGTCCTCTGACCCAGTTCCCCCTCCTCCTGATGAAGGGCTCACCCCTACCCAGAGAGGGCACAGGTGGGGGGGGGCAGGGCGGGAGGGGAGGGTCCGGCCTTTGCTTGCTGGACGAGCTCCAGGCCCTTCCGGTGGGTCGGTGTGGCCACACCAGGCTAACGGTGGGGAAGGTCAGACTCGGCCCTGGGCTGCCCTGGGGTCTGGACGCGCCCCTCTCCCCACCTTAGCCTGAGCGGCCCGAACGCGCCCCCAAGCATCCCGCAGACTCCCGCCTTTGGGGCCCAGAAGCGTGCTAGTTGGCTCCTGGAGCCCCGAGTGCCGAGGCCAGAGCCCAGTCTGAGGAGCGGAGGGCCGCACTTCCCCCCGCCCCCGCAGGCCCCCGCCTCAGTCTCCTCCTCGGTGCAGTGGGTCTGCGCCCCTCCCCCTCCGCCGCCGGCCAGCCCCACTCACCTGGCGCGGGGGAGGACGCCCTCCTTCAGGCAGATCCGCCGCTCGCCATGCTCGCCTAGACGCCGCCGGCCCACCTTCCTCCCTCCCCGGCCCCGGGCGGGCCTCGCTCCCGGCCGCCGCTGTCCCTCACCCCGGGGGCGCCGCCGCCAGCGCCGCCGTTGGTTTTCAGCCAAACGCCACTTCGGGGGCCACCAACCGGCGCGAGCCGCACCAATGCCGAGGCGTCTTCCTCCTCTGGGCCAGCCCCCGCGGACCAATCGCGAACGAGCATGCTGCGGGGTGCGCGGCGCCATGGCGACGGGTGACGCTGGCTTCGCGGTTGCCATGGCACGGCGGGAGCGCGCAGGTTCCAGGCCGGCCCAGCGGCCCGGGGAGACTATGGAGGTGGCGCTCTGGGGCTGAAGGCCCCGCTGAGGCTCGGGCAGCACTGAGGCTGCGTCGGACAGGCCTCCGACCCTCCTGGCGCCCCAGGGGGTCTGCCTGAATCTGCGGCGGCGTCGGAAGCTGCTCTCGCTTGGGCCGAGGGTGGGGGTGCTAATCTACCTCCCGGCACGTACTTCTCCCCAGTCCGACGCGGCTTGGGGGGGGGGGGGCGGCAGAGCCAGCATCTTCTGCATCCCTGGAGCCTCCTAGAGATGCTCTTGAGCTAACAAACGTGGCCTCTTCGAGACGCCTACAGCTTTCCCATTTGGGGAATGGGTAATTTCATCAGGGTAAGCAAAAGCATTTATTAAGCGCCTACTATTAGCTCGGCGCAGATGCAGCCCCCATGTCGCCTGATTCCGTACCCTGTACTAGCGCTTTCTCTAAGAGATTTTAACTTTTTTGTTTCATGGACCTCTTTGGCTATCTGGGGAAGCCTATGGACCCCCTTCTCTAAAGTTTTCAAATGCTGAAAATATAATATATAGGATTACAAAGGAAACCAATTCTATTGAAATACAGCTATCAATTTTTTTTTAAGCCAAATTCATGAACCAGAGATTCCTAACTCCTAAGGCTCCCTCCCTTCCATCTACTCTATAACTATTTTGGTACATGTGATCTCCCCCCGTTCTTGGAAGGCAGGGACTGGTTTTGTCTTTGTATCTGCTGGGTTAGCACAGTGCCTGGCACATGGTAATCTTTTCATAAGTCTTCTTAATTGATGAGTGGGAAGCCATTACCCTGCTACCAACCCAGTGGATATGGATACGGCCTAGCTCCCTGACTTCCCTGTAAGCTGTTGGAGAACTTATTAGCATGCCAAAGTCCCATCCATAGGAAATAATCAAAGGAATGGCAAAGCTCCATTCTATCAGAGAGATCACTTCGATGGAGGGCCAGCTTAGTGCTCGGCTTTGAAAGGCTTCGATAGAAGCAGAAGCAGAGAGGCCTTCCAGAAAGAGTGCACGCTAAGCAGGCAGCAGGTGAGAAGGCACAGCAGCCAATACAAGCAAGCATGCGCAATCAACTGATCACATGCCTCAGTATGTGGCAAACAGAAGGTCCAAAATAACCTTCCTGACTAAGAACATCTCGATGCCCAAAGCTGAAAAAACGTAAAGAACAAACCCCTCCCTCAATCAGGGTGACCTGATTCTTAATGAAATCTCAACCTTACCACCGGTAAAATTAAAAGCTATGATGAAATCCTTATGCTCTTGAATCCTGCCTGACCTCTAACATCTAAGTAAACCCAAACACACCCAAACCTGGAGGCTAACAGGCAGTAATGCTTCAAAGTCATGAAACTAAGAGAAGGTCTCTCACAGCAAAAGATCCAAGTCAACCATTTAGGTTCTGGGGAATCTTTGGGGGCTTCCATGCAACTCCCAACTCCCTAACCAAAGGTGGAAGAAGGCCTCTGGAGGAAACGGTAGTGCCTTTTCCCACATCTATTCCTCATCCATCTCTTGGTTCCTCCTTTCTAAATTTGTTTGGGGGAAGGGGAGAAAATCCATATTCATTTTCCTTCACCAGCTTTTTAGCTCATCTTCCAAATTCCATGCTCATAATGGATTTCCGAAAGCCAGAATTAAAATACAAATTAAGAAAAAACAACATTCAACAAAACAGTTCAGTAGACTTTTATTGCTTTTGTCAAATTCAGTAACATTTCAAAAAATAGTTTTCTTCTAATAATTATAAAACAAATTTGAAAGGCAGGATCTTTCACATTATAGACATGTTGGAGAGACGTGTACTTCATACAAACAAAATATCAGTTCTACACTTAGAGTTAAGATTTACCTTGCGTTGGATTTTATTATAAAAGAAAAAATGCTATTGTAATTATAAAAGTCATAAAAAATTTGAACCGTACTGTGTAATTACACATTACCAAATAGTATATAAATGAACACTAAAATTCAATTTCTGTTCACTTAAATGTGTTGAACATTAGAAGACATCCCCCCCCACCCACACACACACAGAAAAATCATATACAATGTATCAACAAAAAACAGGTACAAATACCAAGTGAATCACTGTTTTAATAAATTTGATTTAAAAAAAAAAAAGGAAACTAGGTGTTTAACACATTACCCCAAGTCAGCTTAGAATTTCAGAATGTGCTAATTTAATAAAAGAATCTTTATCCCATTCAAACTAATGGTTTTCCTATAATTGACACTTATTTTAAAGGTTATCAAATAAAAGCACTTTATATTAAAATATCACTAGACAATTTTTGCATTTAGAACACTATTCCAGACTCCCAATGTCCCTGAAGTCTTAAATGTACTTTCTAGAAAATAAATTATTGTTGGTATAAAACAAAAGATATCTTTCACATTTGTACTGCATAAGATGTGAGCTACATGAGTAATTTAAAATGTTAAATTAACTAACATAAAAAGAGAATTAGAATCATCCTGGTATTAATGGCCTAAACATGTGAAATCTGTGCATTTAAAAACTATCACCATTTAAATTGCTTAGCACATTTACAGAACTTATGTACACAATATAACCCCCTTTAAAGTAGCAAGCTCTCCTATTATGCCCTCAATTTCAGATAGATTTTTAACAGAACTTCGAACCTGCCCCATAAAAGGGAAAGTTACTGTATATACATATAAATGCATTTTGGAGCTTGAGGAAATGTTTGGCTAATTGAATTGGCTGATGTTTTTGACTGGTACAGAAATATACTTTTTAAAATACCTGCATTAGTGTATTTAAATTAAATCCTACAAATTTTGCAAAGACTTGGCAAGTATGAGCATTTTGAATGCCACTGCTTTTTTCTTCCTTAAAAACATACCAAAAATAAAAAACCACCAATAGTTTAAAAGACCAGAACTATCTTGCACCCTCCCAAAAAATCGGTTGGGGGGGGGTGAATGATTGACTTCAGCATATCTACTAAAACTAAAATACAGAATCATCCTTTTATGATGAGAAAGTTTGTATGGTTAATTAAGAATGAAAGACTGTTCAGAAGATAGCTAAACCTCAGTTGTTCAAAATCTGATCTCATCACATTCTACATCTATGAAGAAAGAATCGAGGGAAGTGAGAGGAATGTCCTGAGGTGGCTCGAGCAGCCAGGTAGAGTCAGTAGCAAAAAGCTCCATTCCTGGCAACCAATGGCATCAAGAAAGTGCTGGATTATTTCTTTTCCTTTATTTTCAAAATGGACTACAGATTGGCTTACTTGTTTTGCAGCGTGAAGTAAATCAGTGCATAGTAATTACTACTGCTCATTTACACCCATTAAGGCAACATTTTTATCTACACAAACCAAGTCATGTCCTTCACTGCCTTCGAATGCATATTCCATCCATTTTTCTTTTTAAAACAGTGAAGGAAATAACATTTAAAATAAAGTAAATTAAGCAGTAAATTACTTAAACATGAGTTACCACTGGTCTTTTATGGAGTAATAGTATCAGATCATATCATTTGTCAAAGTAGTTTAGACGAAGAAGAAAATAACAACTATGAAGAACACAGAAAAATTATTTTGAATGTAAAGTGTTTTGAAATTCATGGTTTTTCTGGCACAAGGTAATTACTTTACATAATTAAACAAAATCACTAAAACACTATGATCCCAGGGTAATTTTCCCTTTAAATTTAAAAATTACCTCCAGTAAAATGGCCTGGATTATGAACCCTTTGGTGTCCCGTGTCCAAGTTCAGAAGGCTATGAAGAAATTCTAGCACCCAACACAAGATGTTTAAAAAGTTTTAAGATGAATAGCAAATATTTGGGTCTCTGTAAATGATTATACTGTTGAAAATAAAGAGGAATTATTTAAATGGAAGCACAGTGAGTTACAAGCACCATGGATAACGTTCTGTAAATCAATTGATGGCAGAGTAATAAGCACTCCTCCCTTATTCAGGAGGACCAAAAGAGATATGAGCTAATGCTGACAATGTGGCTTTCTTTAAAAAAAAAAATCTACATTTCTAACCTTTCATTTGAGGTGAAAATTATCCTTCTTATGACTTTTCTGTATTAACTAAAAACAGATAACACACCGAAGAAAATGTCTAAATAATAAAAGAGACGCATTTTTGTTTGTGCATTAAATAGCAGTCAACCAAGAAGCTTTGGATAGTCTGAGACATACTTTCACTCAATCACTGTGGCTGCCAATTCCTACAGCATTATTTCTGATGTGCTGCAAGTTCTATCCTCCACAGCCCACCTTCCTTACAAAGAAGCCTCGGACTATCGGATCGAGCTTGATTTTTGTGTCACTACCACCATTTTATACCTTTCAAGACTAACGTAAAACATGTTTGGTTTTTGTGAATTATCCTTTTGCCAAATCAGTTGCGCAACCCCATTCATCCAGTCCTACAGGTTTAGTAACAACAATATTTATTCATTTCATGTTAGGAGTTAACTCCAAACAAAGATTATATAAAAGATGACCAAGAAGATTTACTAGCGTGGATAAAAAGGAACTTAAAAAGACAAAGAAAAAAAAAAGTAGTAATCCCAATCATAAGTAGGTATGTCATCAATAGTCTGAGCTTTACATAAAATATTTAATTTCCTTGAAAAACACTAACATGGCAGTGTTTAATATCAAATCTGTGAAATCTGTCAACTGTATTCTTTCAGGGAATTAATCATAAATGTAAGAGAGCCCCAACTATTTACATTACCACATTTACTCTACTGTATATGCATTACCTTAAATTTTTGTACAGAATTTAATCTTTACACCAATTAAAATAAATAAAATGTTTAGAAACAAAACCAAGGTTAGCACTGTATTAAATATATTCTGTACAGTGGAAAGAATGGAAATGTAAACAGAGAATCCAAGGTAATTCTTAAGAGCCCATAAAGTAATACTGATCATAAACCCATTCCAGAATTCTGACTCCTGATTATTTAACCACACTTCTTTTTAAATGAAAAATAATCAAGAATTGAACCTGATACTAAACTAAAACATTCTAAGAAATTGAGAGCAAAAAATGCTTTATGGGATGAGAGAACATGTCTTTCACATGTTTTCCTAACTTTGACATACAAAGAAGAGAACAGCAAACAGGTATATGGTGCTCTACTGTAATCACAAGGATTCATGAAAAAAAAAAATAAAGACCGCAGTAAAGCCTAATATGTTTCAAACTACTGAAAATAGTTGTTTTAGAGTGTCTAAAATATCATTATGAGCAGACAGAGTAGCTAACACTGGTATGGGGGTAAAAATATATTTTAAAATCACCTACATTTTTACTTGAGTATTATACTGGAAAACAGAGGATGGATTTTTTGTTGTTGTTACTGTTCTTTATATCTTAAAAAAAATGAAGGTCATAAATACAAATGTTCTAATAAATATTTCACATTTACCTCTATGGCTAAAAATCCATCTCTGGGGAATATCGACATGGCCACCTGCATAAAGAACTCACAAAACCAGAGGAAAACCAAGATGCCATTTGTCATCTAACAGGCATGCTATGTTTTGTTTCATAAAAACCAACAAAAAAGCTTCACTTTCTTCCATGAAACTCAAAACAGTAATTGGAGAAAAGGTGAAATTTTTAAATAACTCAGGTTAAAATTCACAGAGAGCTCTCAATAATAAATACATGGACAAGTATAAACTAAGGTTGATTAACTTTTGGTACACATACAGATTTTTTAAGAAAAAAATACACTTATGCTTTTCCCACATCTTCCTATTTCAAAACTGGAAAATAATTTTTCTAACAGAATAAATATTCAAAGGATAATTAATAACTATGTACCTTACTCACAAGAGACCCACCTCATCACATATACAGTCATTACTGTGCTCATAACATACAAGTCAAACACTTTCAAAAGCACGGAGTCATACTTTGGTGGTATGGTAGCCAAAAACAGTCTATACAAACACACAGCACACACATACATAACATAATTCTTCTTGGTTTAGTTCTATAACGAAGTTTCAGCATCCACATATTTCCTTGTAGGTTCATCTTCCAGATTTATTTTCACACTCACTGGTTTTTCTGGGCTATTTGAAACAAAGAATAATAATGAAGGGTTTAAAAATAGAAACAGCAAATTTTTAAAATGGTGACACTTAAACTATCAACAATCCTTCATAAAATGTAAAGTTATTTTTGTATAGGAAACATTCAACAACTTGAGGCTGCCATTATCACTGTGAACTAATGATTTTGGCTACTATTGTAGTACTGTTTGAGGCTAATTTAATAACAGTAAATCTTAAAGTTGAAAAGAATATTATTAGGCTATTATTCCTGAATTGAATCTCTAATACTGTGTATATATGGACTGACCAGAATGAAGGAATTAATGATTTATTATTTTTAAAGAGCAAAAAAAAGTTTACAACTAATTTTTTTTATCTGCCTGGGAAGGAACCCCCCCCCTCCCCAAATCCTTCAATATACACATAGGCTTGATTAATAATTTTTGTTAGATTTCTGTACTCAGTAATATCTAACTTTGACTGAAGGCTGATCAATCTTTTAAAAACTGAATCTCTGCACTAAATGTTCAAAAAGTTATTAATTAAAAGATTTAAAATATTATATTACTAATGAATCATAGTTGGAGGAATTCTGAAAACATAATAGGTAAAAAAATAATAATTTTCCCAAATTCAATTCAACTTGGCAAGTACTGTGCACAGTAAGCACATATATGCTATACTTTTAAGGCATAGAAAACCAAGTTTTAGAAGTGTCCAAAGTGCACCACCTTGTACAATATGGACTGAAGTATAACACACACACAAAAATCCAAAGAGTGCAGACATGTTAGGACACTGCTCTCACATACACGTAAGCAGTACAACACATATTTATAAGGTACCATGCTGGGGAAAATGACTTGCCAACCCCGATTATAAAAAAGTCTGACAATACTCTGTATGCTTTGTGACCAAAAATGTCCCACTCCCCAAAAAAGTGAAACTTTCATGAGAGGCAGACCTGGATGTGATCAAAGGTAAATGCAGGATCTCAAATATTTAAAAATGTATAAAAGAAGACAAGAAAGAATTCCCCAGTACCAGGATTTGGTTATCTTTTACAAGTAAATGTGCACTTACCTAGGGGGTGTCCAAATGGGGCCAAAATGTTGACTGGAGGATGAGAGGAAAGGTGAAGAAGGAAGGATGAGCTGTAAAGAGCTAAGAGGCAAGTGAATTCAGTGAGGGTTTCAGAAAAGAGAGCAGGAATGAGGCGTGAGCTGGGACAAACAGTCCCCTACAAGAGACTCGGGAGCACAGACAGGAAAAAGGTGAAAACAAAAACAAGTGTGTAGCTAGAAGGAAAGAAACTCAGGATATGCCGGCCCAGGCAAGCCAGCCAAGTAAAACTGGGTAAAGAGGGAAAATCTTCAAAGTCTAGGCAGTTACTTCCTGTGGACAAAGCCAAGAAAGAAATCCACCAGGCTAACAGGTTGAAGCAGCTGCCATGAGGGCAGTTGTGACCTCCCATGAAAGAGGGATTAGAAAAGCAAAGACTCTACTTCTCTGGGGGTCCAAAGGCCTGCAAATGAGATTTCAGCCAAGAACTGCAAGTGGAGGGAGAGAGAGGCCAGCAAGAACCATGACCCCAGGGACTGGAGATGCTTCCTACTAGAAAGGGAGAACACAGGGGATGTTGTAACTACGTGCCACTGAACAGTATGAGAACATACTCCTGGTATGTACCTCAGCAGATATCAGACTACAGTGGACAAGGAGCTATTGCCAGAAAAGAAAATACCTTAATTGAGTCACCAAGGCTCTAGAGATTCTCCTTTCTTTGCCCCTGGGGTGGTAATACCAGGAAGTGATCTAAAGAAGCAGGAATGAGCACGTGGAAGTCAGAGAGAACCCGCTTATAGCACAATGGCCCAAAGAGTGTGTGTGCATATGTGTCCTTTCTCCTCACACCATCACTGAAGTCACGGGTAAAATGCTACATCAGAACACAGCCAAAGAGATGATCATAGCTACCTCATGCTCGGCCTGGATGCTCTGGTGCTCTCGGTGCTCATGGCAAGGGCTCTCCACTGGGCGGTTTTAGCCATTTCATCTGATATGTTAACAACTGAAGGATCAACGCTGGAGAACAAACACACTTCTTGGTTAGCATGTGGTACCCGGCAAAGCGCAAATACTGTCACCCAAACTACCTATAATGTTCACAAGGAAAAAAGTCACCGATGCACAATATTATTCTAAAACTATATATAAAAGCTCACAATTATCTTGTAGGATATCAAAGCCTAGATAGTTATGTTCCTAAATATGAAAAATATTGCAGGTTACTTGTGTCACTGTATTCTCTCCTGCTTGGGCTACCCTTGAGGCAACTTGTTCAGCAGTGGGCACCACACTTAAGGAAGGACAGTAATAAACTACAATGTGTCCAGGAGGACGGACAATCAAGGTGGTGAATCCAGGGCTGCAAATCAATGCCATTTAAGAATTATTTGGAGGAAATGAGGAAGGGAAGAAAGAAGGATTATAGCCATCTTCAAGAATTTAGAAGTCATGTGTAAGATTAACTACACTTGTACTGCTATCTCAAGGGGCAGAATTTGAAAAGAGGCTTGAATTGAGACTTGATAAAGGGGAAAATGTCCTAACATTCGAGCTATTCCAAAATGCAATGGGCAGCTATGGGAGAAGAAGCATTTAAGCAAAGGTCAGATGGTCACTACAGTCCTTTCCAATTCTAAAATTTTAGGAATCTATTAAAGACAAGGATAGACTACACTATTCTAAAACAATATCATCAAATCTCAAATGTTTACTGTCTCTCATTGCTGAGATCAGCATGCAGGGAGCACTGACACAAAAGGACATCACAGACTGGATCAAGTATTGAGGTTCACAACAACAACCCTTCATGAACTTGGGAAGGAGTCTGAGGAATGAGAAAGCATGAAGGGAGGATGACCAAAAAGTGCACAAAGAGCCAGGAAAAGCGTCAGTGCACAACAACTCACGGTATGTTATGAGTGCTACCCTTTGTTGATCCCCTTTTTAGAATCATCATAACCTATGTATTAATTTAAATTTATCTGCATCACAACAAATATGAATATTACAGTATTTTCCCAACAATATTTTGAGAAAAGGATTGGGAAATCTTCCAAGGTGAGTTTATTTGGAAGAACTACTTCAAGATTTTTAGTACAATTTAGACATCACAAAGGATCTGGAAAAGTAGAGTACAAGACAGCTACAAACATATATAAATGAAGTTGTCAAAATTGAACCATGAAGTTCACAAAAAGTGTGCATTTAACTATGCATGTAACCAGAAGATGAAAATAATTTGTAATTTCCAGACAAAACAAGCTGCAAATATAGATGTTGAAGAGCTAACTAGGAATTCCCTTTTCCAAATTTAGTAATAAAATGGCAGGCCAGTCACAGACACTTATTTAGAAGTCATTTAAAAAGTCAAACTTAGGGCAACAAGGTGGCACAAAGGATAGAACATCAGCCCTGGAGTCAGAAGGACCTGAGTTCAAATCTGGCCTCAGACAGGTAACACTAGCTATGTGACTCTGGGCAAGTCACTTAACCTCAACTGCCTTGCAGAAAAGAAAAAAAAATAAAGTCAAGCACATTTCTTACAATTTAATGAGCATGATGGAAGGAAGAGAGTTACAGCTGCAAATATGTGGTTTCACTACCACAGTCAATGAACAGGTTCAGAAAATTTACAGCTCTGCTCTACCTTTGAAAGATAAGCACGGGGGGGGGGGGGGGGGGGGGGGGGGGGGGAGGGGGAGGGGGAGGGGGAGGGGAGGGGGGAGAGGAGAGGGAGGGGGAGAGAGAGAGGGAGACACAGAGAGAGAGAGACACAGAGAGAGAGAGACAGACAGAGACAGAGAGAGAGAGAGAGAGAGAGAGAGAGAGAGAGAGAGAGAGAGAGAGAGAGAGAGAGAGAGACACTTGACACAAACGTTTGCCATCAAGACTTAGGGACCTGGTTGTAAAGGGCTTTCCTGTGGCTAGTAACACTGATTGCATCAAGCCAGAACACATGACAGCGCCTTGTAGAAGAGATCAGTAATAATTCACGAGTGTGGCCCAACCATCTCCAGAGAAAAGATAAAGTGGACAACAAAAGTTCACTGCACAGATCACCCTATACAGTTGTATGGACACCTAGAGAGTATGTCTATATGCATGTTTATCTTGGACAGACAGTCCAGAGGGCAGAGCACAAATGTGCTTTGAGTAAGACCTAAACAAGAGGCGGAGAAAGGGCTTGATTACTCTTCAGGAAGTTACTAGGCAAATTCACTCCAAGCGTCGCATCAATTCAAAGGTCCATGTTTTAATACCACATGCAGTGTTTCTGGATACCAGTGAATCACGGTTATCAATAATCTCCAAAGAACTAAAAATGAATATGAGAGGGCAATGGAAAGGGCGCGCGAGCCAACAGCAATACATAAATCAACCTCAAAGAACAAGAGTGAAATGGCATCAAGTAATTATATAACAGGAACAGGAGACTGTTGGGACAGCCAGAGTGCACGGGTACCCAGCTGCCCACTGGATGTTTCCTGACAGGCGGTCCCATAGGTATCTCAAAGTCAACACATCCAAAATAAACGATAATCTCTCAGCCCAATTAGCCCCTCTTCCAAACTTCCACGTTTCTGACAAAGGGACAACCCCCCACCCAATCACCCAGTTTTTCAACCTCACTCTCGTCCTCAAGTATTCCCTTTCTCTGACCACCCACATTCAACTAGTGTTTCCCTTCACCCCATCTCTCATCTGCCCCCTTCTCTACGGCAATCACCGATTCAGCTGCTCCTCTCTCCAGTCCACCCTTCACACAGCAACCAAAGGGGCTTTCCTAACACACAGGTCTAACCACGTCACTCTCCGGCAGCTCCTTACTGTTTATTGAGTAAAATGCTAATTCCTCTTGCCCTTAAAGCCTTTCACACTCTCACTGTAGCTTAGTTTCCCAGGCTTATTACATTTCACCTCACCCTTCATAAACCACGTTCCAGCAAAGCTGGCCTACAGACTTGCCCTTCGTTCATAACATCCTGTCTCCCATCTCCATGCCTTTACAAAGGCTGTCTGTCCCCCAAGCCCAGGAAAACGCTCCCCTCTCACTTCTCCCTTGCTTGATGCCTAGCTCCTTTTCCAAGCTCAGTGCAGGTGCCACCTCCAACTGAGGAGCCTTTTTTGATCTCCCCAGTTACTTCTTGCTCCTTCTCTACCCCCTTCCACCAAATTTACTTGGCATTTACTTATACTTACATGTTGCTCACACTGTCCACCCACCCCACTCCTCATACGTATACAGACCCAGCCTTAAAATGTTAAGTTCCATAAGGACAAACATTTTGGGGGTATTTTTTGCATGCTAGTGCCCACCCCATACCCAGATGGATCCATGATCTCATCGTTTGGGAGTTTCCTCCAATTAATGCTCATTGCAACCCATCTGTGCCTGCCCATCCAGTGTGATTCATGAGTCTGACACACAGGAGCCACCCAACATGGCGTGAGCCTTCCTCAGTTCACCTGAAAGGATACCAGTAGATCCTTCTGCCTGTCCACTAGCCATCCCTCAACCTTACCATATAAACTGCCTGTGTCTTCCTGTCCTATTATGGGATTCCTGGAGACCATTTACTCCCTTCCTTAAAGTTCATTCCTTCTCAGATGCAGACTGCTTACACAGACCACACACCTTCCCACTGCTTCTTAGGAGGCCTGACATTCATTAATTCTTCATAGAAAGCTACAGTCCAATACTTTGCTACCACACAGGAACACCAACAGAATGTTGGCTTTGTAAAGATGCACCTTTTAGGGAAACAGAAAACTGGGAACAAATTTTTACAACCAGTGTCTCTGATAAAGCCTCATTTCCAAAATATACAGGAAACTGAGTCAAACTGGTAGGAATACAAGTCATTCCCCAGTTGATAAATGGTCAAAGGATATGAACAGGCAGTTTTCAAGTGAAGAAATTAAAGCAATCTACAGTCATATGAAAAAATGTTCTAAATCACTATTGATTAGAGAAATGCAAATCAAAACAACTCTGAGGTACCACATCACACCTATCAGATTGGCTAACATGATAAAACAGGAAAATTGTAAATGCTAGGGAAATTGTGGGTAAATTGGAACACTAATGCACTGTTGGTAGAGTTGTGAACTGATCCAACCATCCTGGAGAAGAATTTGGAACTATGCCCAAAGGGCATACTCAGCAACACCACTTCTAGGTATCTATATCCCAAAAACATACAAATGTTTGGAAAAAGACCCACATATACAAAAATATTTATAGCAGCTGTTTTTGTGGTGGCCATTGGAAATTGAGGGAATGCCCATCAACTGAGGAATGACTGAACAAGTCGTGGTATATGAATGTAATGGAACACTACTGTGTTACAAGAAATGATGGGCAGGCAGACTTCAGAAAAACTTAGATGAACTGATGCTGAATGAAGTGAGCAGAACCAGAAAAACATTGTACACAGTAACAACCACGTCATGTGATAACTAACTTTGATAGATTTAGCTCTTCTCAACAAAACAAGGTTCTAAGAAAAACTCTAAACGGCTCATGATGGAAAATGCTATCCTCATCCAGAGAAAGAATCACGGAGTCTGAATGCAGATCGAAACATCCTATTTGCTTTTTTTGTTTTCTTTTGTTTTGTTTCTTCTCATGGCTCCTTCCATTGGTTCTAATTCTTCTTTACAACATGACTAATGTGAAAATATGTTTAATACAAATGTATATGTAGAGCTTATATCTGATGGCATGCTGTCTTGGGGAGAGGGGAGGAAAAGGAGGCAAATAAAATTTAAAACCCAAAAGATTATGGAAGTGAATGTCGAAAACTAAAAATAAATTAATTTTAAAAAAAAAATTTAAAAAGATAAGCTACATCTTTATTTCCATGGGACAAGGGGTCAATATAGGACCTCTTCACTTCTCTGAAGGCAATTTGGCCTATACTTTTCTTCCTTTTCAACTACAGGGACAATTCCCTCTCTAACTGTCTCACACAAACACAAGTGATGGATAAGCTCTACAGACTGCCCTTTCCAAATGCATGCCATAATATGAGCAAAAGACATTCTTTATCCACTTGGTATTTTGTCTGTTTGAATGGCCTAGTAAAAATTTTAATTACCTGTCTATTCAAGAAGGTTCTGCAACATTCAGGGGCTTGATGCCTTCAGTACATTTGTCAATAAGCAGGCATCCAAAAGATCTTGCTATCCATACAACATTCCTCATCTACTTGTCCTTTGACCTAGATTTCCTTCAACACATCTGTGATAAATACGCATCACCCTGTTTATAATCTGCTGCTAATTATGATCACAAAAGATCACTGAACAGCACTGTTCCTGTGCTTTTATCATGAATGATTCTATTATCAATGGGATACAATTTTTTTGGAAAACAGACTTTAAGGATGCCTTTTGTTTTACCAAAAGCAAATGCTTTTTTCATGATCTGAACTCAACAAACCAGGGTGGGATAAAATCTGCTGGGAAAAGTGGAAAGCATTCTAGCACAAATGAGGCTTAGACCAATACCTTGCACTATATTCCACAAAGCATTCTAAGTGGCTATGTGTCCTTCATACCAAAGATCATACTATAAAAAAAATCAGAAGATAATAAAATCATATACCTCTCCCAGCTGTGAGTAGATGTATTCTTATACCAAATACAGGATAAAGCTGATCATAAAAGATAAAATCATTAACTCTGATTACACGAAACTGAACAGTATCTGCACAGGTAGAATTAATGCACTTATGATGAGAAGGGAAGCAATCAAACAGGAAAAAAAAATTATATCAAATTTCTATAATAAGGGTTTGGCATCCAAGATATATTATAAACAATTAAAATATAAAAGACTAATAGCCATTCTCCTATACAGAAGTAGTCAGTGGATGTGAATAAAAAGTTTTCAAAATAACTGCAAAGTATGGAAGAATGCTAGAAATTACTAATAAGAGAAATGCAAATCAAAACAACCCTGCAGCTTTACCTCATACCCTGCAAATTGGCAAAGATAACAAAAGATGGTAAGAGTCAATGTAAGAGAAGTTGTGGGACAATAGGCATACTGTTGCATTGTTGGTGGAGCTGTGAATCAGTTGGAAAGCAATGTGGAATTACGCAAATAAAGTACTAAAAAAATCCAAATCATTTGCTCCATAGATTCCATTACTGGGATCATATCCCCAACGAGGACATTGATCAAATGAAAATCCCCATATATAATAAAATATTTATACCAGTACTTTTTGGTGATAGTAAAGACTTGGAAAAAAGTAGAGATGGGAAATGGCTAGACAAATTGTGGTACATGAACATAATGGAATATAATTGTGCTATAAAAACCGATATGTGCGATGAATAAAGAAAAACATGAAAAGAGCTGCATGAACTGATGCCATTAGGTAAGCAGAGCCAAGAAAATAATATACACAATGACCACAACAATGTAAATAGAAAGACCCACCATACAAATAAAAAGCGAATGTTACAGAATTGTAAAGAACGTCTCTTCTAAAGAAGAGATATGAGAAGACATCCCAACCCACTCCCCTCTGGAGAGCTGAGAGGTCCACAAGTATTGTCATAGCACATATTTTCCTACTTTTTTAATATGTTAATTAGCCAAGCTGACTTTTCCTCTTCTTTTTCTTTCAGTCTTAAAAAAATACTATTTGTTATATAGGATGGCTCTCAGAAAGGAAGAGGAGGAGGGATGCTGGGGGAAACTATGGTGACAAAAAATATATTAATGAAACTTGTTTAAAAAATGAAGATGATGCTGAATTTTGCAGATGATGCAAATTAGGCTATAACTTTTTGTAAATAATAAGTTAATACATGCACCTCTCTTTCTTTCATGGGGATTCCAGACAGCGTCATTCATTACTAACACAGAAAAAATGAATCACTGATCCACTAAAATGCAAAAATATACACACTCTATATGATACAAATATAATTTCTGAAACTCCACACAAGTTGAAAAAGCAAGTCCAAATAACTTAATAAATATGAATGATTCTCGTAACTAATCAGGGTAACAGAATTTATACCTACTCTAACCAAAGTGTTTCTCAGCTGTGAATGGCTCAAGAGCAGACTAGATCTCCCCAGAGCAAACATATGCATAATTAATGTGTCACTTAAGTTTTCACATAGAATACATGCTGGAAAGGACTAAAAGCCTTCCAGTCCAAACTGTAGCTGAACAAGAATCCCCTTCACATCCCACCTAAACACACAGCAAGCATTCACAAAGTGCTTCCCACGTACCCACCACTGGGTTAGACTCTCGGGATCCAAAGACAAAATAGAAACAGTCCCTGCCCCCAAGAAGCTTATAGTCTGGCCATAGACTAAATCATGTACATGTACACACACACACACACACACACACACACACACACACACACATGCATACATGCATGCGTGAAATACGCAAAAAATACTTCTATACTGAGTTTGGGACTCAGCATGAAGAATGCAGAAACGTCTTCCGCGGAAGATGGAGCTTGAAACTCAGCCTTAAAAAAACCAGGGCAGAGGGAGTCCATGCGCAGGCATGGTGGAGCAGCCAGTGCACAGACACACCGAGAGGACAGTAATGAGTCATAAAGGTGGAAAGGAAGGTTGGGGCTAGGCTGACTTAAGTTCTTCAACTGAAGACTTCCAATTAGAGGACAACAGGTTACACCTACCTTTTAAAACTAGCAGGAATTTACATTTGAACATTAGGATACATATTCAATGGTTTACATTACAAAATTTTACATACAATTACTTAATTTTCAGGTTATAAATATAAATTACTAAATATCAAAATCAAAACTGTTAAACACTACAGGGAATCCTATTAACAATTTTTTTCAAGTTCCTTGTACCAGCAATCACTAATAACTTTTACCCCACGACTCCCAAGCAATTACGGAGCCTTGAGGATGATATTCATTTTTTAAATATATTTCATTTGTGTTTTAATCAGCCAAAATCTGCTTTTTCACCCTTCTATCCCAGCCCACCTTTCCCCACTGACAGTGCAAACAAACCAAAACCTACAAAACACGTCTAGTCAATTAAAACAACTTTCCACACTGGCAATGTCAGAAAAGAATTTATTTCATTCAGCATTCTGAGCCCTTCATCTCTCTCTCAGGAAGTGGGCAGCGTGCTTTATCACTAGAAGGACTATAGTCCTTGAGGAAGGGAGCTATCTAAAGCTTTTACAGGGAGAGAACAATTCTGCCATCTATGCCGAGAGCACAGAGTCACATGGAGTCTCCCTAAGAAGGCTAGGTAGCTGAGCCAAAAATTTGCACATCCTAGGAAAAAACCGAAGGGATAACGAAGAAGCCTGGCCTGAGGCAGAGCGCATCCCCCAGTGAAAACTTTTCTCCGCCCACCCCAGTTCTGGACTTTGAAAATGCTCCGCCAAGAGCTCGCTTTTTCCAGGCGGCATAAGCGCCCCTCCAAGACACCACTGATTATCGGGATGACATGATACACAGCCACCCCTTAGAGTCATTCAACTTTATAGCACATCGCTTTTTTAAAAGGTTTCCTAGGTAATTTTAAAAGGTTAAATAACCTCCACTTGACAGGAATATTGGAGAGCTGATGAAACAACCAATAAAGAAGCATTTATTAAGTACTTACTGTATGCCATGCACTACTCTCAAGCTTAGTCTGTCACCTAAGCTCCTAGGGATAGGAAGTGTACTATTTCAAAACAGAGTTTACTCCCACCTGTACTTGAGGGCCTTCACTGGAATCTGCAGGAGACTCCCGCCTTCAAAGGGAAGGTGCACAGTGTCACTGTCATCGGCGTGAAGCAGCCGTTCAGCCTCCTGGGTGAAGCAAATTAAATCGTTTTTCTCTCTACCTTTACCTTCTTCCATCCCCATCTGCCCCCCCCAACACTAATAAAGATTAAGACACTGGATTAACGCTCATTTCAAAGGGAAATTTACTACATGTAACATATTAACTAATGAGAAATTAAAACTGCCAAACTATGCAAACAAAATATTAATATAGTTGCGACTGAAATACTTATTTCAACAAGACCTCCATGAAAAGTGTCAAACACACGGGCCACATGCAGCCCAAAATATTCCCAAGTGAAGCGTGAATGTTTAAAATGCACTTGGAAAAATACTTAACAAAACTTTAAAAATACAATAAAATATAAATAATGTTACAATGTGGTTTTCTAAGTCCATATGCTGATGGAAGAGATTCTTATGTATGGTTTAGTGGTCCCTGTTTCTAGTTGAGTTTCATACCACCAATCTACATTAATATCTGTAGTATATGGTAAAAAAAGTCCTTTTGAAAAATACATATTTTGTATGTTAACTTTTTTCTATTAAGAAATAAATAAAAATATCATCTTTTAGGGAAAAAGTATCATTTAATTATGCTTCTGTCCTATCAAAATTGCCATGTTCAAGGCTCTTGTCATTTTTGATATAAAATATACTTTTGCAAATAAAATGTAGAGGTTGAGATGGTTCTTTAAAAATGGATTTTCCTCATGTAAGAAACAGACAAACAGAAAACACCCAATTTTTAAAAAATTATCTTATTACAGAAAAGGCTGATCAGCAGAATTCAAACGTGCGTGCGTGTGTGTGTGTGTGTGTGTGTGTGTGTGTGTGTGTGTGTGTTAGAAAGAGAGAGAGAGAGAGAGAGAGAGAGAGAGAGAGAGAGACAGACAGACAGACAGACAGACAGACAGACAGACAGACCCTGATGTATCTAATAAAAATAAGATACCACTACTAGGGAAAACTAGTTTAAATTATGATACAGACACCAATGTATGGTGACTTTCAGAAGAAAATAATAATCTTAACTTTTAAAAATTCCTTTACAATTAGATATTTGTAAATACTACTGAAAAGTAAACATACAATTTGTAAAGTCTCACATCAGTTGCAGAGATATCAGCATTAAAAATAATTAGTTTCAGTTTCCTATGATCAGCAAATGTAGTATTATACTGACACAATTTAAAATTATCTGGTATGCTTTTTAAATTACAATCTTGAATTGATCAGATAACTGAATATAATGAAAAAAGAACAAGAACTTAGTTTCTAAATTCAACTATAATACTAAGTATGAAAATAAGGCTTTACACCTTTTAAAAAGTTGAATTCCATGACATAAAAATTATGTACGGTCCATTTTTCTGTATTCATCATCAAAATGTGCTTGAAATTTAAAACCAACTGTAGATACCTTTTTGTCAACAACTCAAAATAAAGCTACAGATTTCTCTAGAATGTGTTGTTCCTGAATACAGAGTTCCTCAAAGAGCTGCACAATGGCCAGCTGAGACTCAGCTCAGGCCAGTCGTTCTGGCAGGAGCTCATGGAGAGAGCTGAGCTGCCTGGAAACTGCACTCACTCTGGCCAGTTGGAAAAATCACCGAGCTGTGCCTTGACAGTTTCCCAGCAGATTTTAGGGTTTTAAACTTAACCTCAATAGTTTTACACACCTCCTTTTCCTTCTTCTGTTTGTCATCTTCTTTCTTTTTCTTACTTTCTGGCATGAGATCATCAAGCCAGCTCAGTTCTCGTTTGGTAAAACACAAGTCCATTAGTTTGCGTATAAACACCAATGCAAGAACCTTTAAAAAAAAAACACAGACCTTAAACCTCTTTTGAAGAGTTCACAAACTGTTCCAAATACAAAAAAATCAAGTAACCAAAAACAAGACTAAACAAGACCTATGAAATAAAAAAACTAACCCAGAAAATAATATTTTTTAGCCTTCACAAACAAAAAGTATACAGTTATAAAAAATACAATTCTTAACTATCTGTTTGGAATAAATTCCCTGGCCTATGCAAGTACTTCATTAAAAAGCATGCCATGTCAAATGGAAAGTTATTATATTTAAGATAACCATAGATAATATTAAAAATTATCCCCTTCTCCTCTCTACAGTACTACTATCAAGGTCTAGATCTCCATTTCTTTATTTTTTTAATGGTAGATGCATATTAAGAACTTTTTTCACCCTGTACAGAGAGTGCAACATTAACACTACAGGCAGGAATACTAAATGTGGATATTTATTTATGAAACAGCGCTATTCCACAAACTTCAAATGCCTTTTCCTATCTTCAAAGGCCATGCTGCTCATAAGCAATGGAAAAAGCACTGAACTTGGAGGCAACGGATCTGGGTTCAAATCCTGACTCTGCCATAGACTACTCATGTGACAAAAACTTGTCAAAAAGCCACACCCCTTATTTAGGCTTCAGTTTCCTCTTCTACAAAGTAAGGGGATTAAATGTAATTGTCTCTAAGGTTTCTGCTCACTAATAATCTATGGGTACTATGATTTGTACAACAAGTTATAAGAGTTAATTTATTAGTAGCGTCAGAGTTATTTTTAGTCATTAGTCAATAATATTAGTCGATAAATGTTTTTCAGCTCCTACTATATGCCAGACACTATACCAAGCACTGGGTATACAAAGAAATGCAAAAACAGTCCCCCCGTATTCAAGGAGCTCACAATCTAATGGAGAAAACAACAAGCAAGTATGTACAACTAAGCTATACACAGGATAAAAAGAAAATGAGAGGGAAGGCACTGGAATTAAGGTGAGATGGACAAGACTTCCAGGAAAAGTTGGGATTTGAGCTGAGGAAAGTGAACAGGCAGAGCGGAGGAGGGAGAGCATTCCAGGTATGAGAGACGGCTAGATAGAATGTTCAGAGCAAAGAGATGGAGGGTCTTGTTCATACACAAAGCCCAGCCCAGGTCATTGGATCAAAGAGTACAAGACAGTGAGTAAGGTACAAGAAAGCCAGAAAGGGAGGGAGGGGCTAGATTACAGAGGACTTTGAATGCCAAACACAGCATTTTATATTTGCTCCTGGAGGCAGCAGGGAGCTACTGGAGTTTACTGAGTAGGAGAAGATGACATGGTCAGACCTGAACTTTAGGAAAATCACTTTACAGGCTGAATGGAGAAGAGACTGGAGTAGGAAGAAACTTGAGGCAGGCAGACCCACAGGAGGCTATTGCAATAACCCAGACATAAAGTAATAAGGGGCCTGCACCAAGGTAGTGTCAATGTTGAGGAGAAAAGGCAGTCTATTTGAGAGATGCTAGAGGTAGCATCCACAGGCCTGGAAACAGCTACGATGAGGGAGGGGAAGAGAGAGATAGTGGGGAGTCCAGAATGACTCCTATACTGCGAGCCTAAGGGCCTAGGAGGATGGCATTATCCTCTACAGTAAATGCAAAGGTAGACTGGCATAATTGCTGAGATATCATTAGTCTCTGCTTCATCTTAATCAAGAACTACTAAAGTGACTCAATGGGATGGAGAGTTGTGTGGTGCAAGTCCCCAAAGCTACAGTTCTCAGACACACTCAAGATGGATCTGTGACTTCTTTAGAGAAGAGAAGGTCAATCCCAACACTGTGAGTCACCACCCATCCATGCCTACTTATCCTGTGGGACTCTCATCCATGCCATCCCCTAAGTTCACCACAGATGATCCACTCGACCTGTCATGAGACTTCCTTGAGTTCGCCTACCATCTTGAATATTCCAACAGAGCAGAATGAATATGCATCAGTTATCCCTTTCTCTTGTCATACTCCAGCCCATTTTCTACAACCAGAAACTTATTTGATGATATCCTTAATCTTGATTCTCCTTCATAATTTCTTGACAATTATAATTTTCAACTTGGTCACATTCACCATGTGCTTATCAGCCTTCTGAGAGATCCTCAATTTCAAGTCTTTGGAGACTACAGTGTTCTAAGACTCACAGACATACAATATCACTGGAATAACAGAAGTATTGTAAAGACGGGCTTTTATCCCAGCAAGTAACTTAAGGTTAGTAAAAGAACTCTGCAATTTCCCACAGATAATCCATTTGCTGTTCATTTGCAGCACCTTTCCAAGACGCAAACACTAACGGGAGAGCTCTACAGAGTATCTAGCCAGTTAGTTTTTCCTATACACATAGAAAGGCTGAACATTTGAGTGATTATGGATCTCATTTAGGAGGTTCCACAAGGTTCCTCGACTTGATGAAATGTCACCTGTACACAAGTGCATGTGGAAGACCAGAAGCATCCTCTCCAGGGAATCCCTCTTTGCCTTGGTTTCTCCATAACAGAGTCCAAGAGTTCATCTGTCCATGAGAGCAGTGAACACTAAGGCCAAGTATCTTTGGTGACATATTTTAATCACTTCATTTATTCACACCTTTGCATTGAAGTCATCAAAGACCAGAGTACATACTGATTTAATGTGGAGTCTTATCTAGTTAATACTAGATTTTCTCAATTTCTTCATCTTCTGTATCAAAGTTTGACTTAAAAGCAGCTATAATTATTTTCATGGTAGTCCTTTTTTTAAAAATTCTCAGAAAATATCCTCAAAAATCTAGAATAAAAAATTACTACTTTAGAAGAAACGAAAACCAATAATTGATAACTACCTATTTCTAAATCATTCAAATAAATTAATGATTCTTTCCTCAAATACGCACATAAAATGATCGCTTATCAAAAGCAATATGATCACTTGACATACTGGTCTTAAAAAGGTCAGGAGGGAAAAGATTCATTTACCATCATGGGGAAAACAACCGCAGCAGCTGAAGCTTTTATCACCCACAAGAGAACTAAACAGGTAAGCTGAATGACTGTAAAGATGTGGACCTTCCACAGCGGCACATAACGCAGATAGATCAGATCTGGCTGATGTTTAGCGGGCATTCCAAATAATTTGATGCGGTCAAAAAACTAACAACAAAAAAACCAAAGTAAAAAACATTAAACCGAATTTCAGTCTATGCTCTTTAAAATTTAAAGAGGTTACTTTGACATTTTAAAGCTTTAACATATTAGGGACAGGGACAGGATCTGTGATTTCTCCATAACCTCTAGTATTAGAGTTGTTCCAATCACTAAAAAGTTCAATGCTCAGTCAATACCCAGTGCATGTCAGCAGTTGGATTTGAACCCAAGCTGTCTTCCTGGGATTTGATGCCAACTCTCTTTCATATTGACAAGCATCAGTTTTAAGCTAAAATTTCGCTACTTTTTTCCACAGTATGCAAAAGTAGGATAGATGCAAGTTAGCATCTAGGTTCTGATAAGTTTTGTGAATAATGAATCCCATATAATGTGGTACATTATTTGAATTCCCACTTCATGTTTCCACTGGCCAAAAAAAAAAAAAACATTTTACATTTTATGTCCTCATAAACCTATATAGTGCAGATTCAAATACAGGAGAGCACTTCAGGGATTCATTATTTGCACTAACTAGGATCTGGCTATATTTCAGCAAAATACTTTTAAATCTATGCAATACAAAGTAAGGGAGATAATTTGAAATTATTTAATTTATTGAAATAAACATGGCCCACTGAACCAAAAAATATACCACGCTACCGCTACCTACCCTTTGTCCACTTTAGTGGACACAATATTTAAAAGATGTTCATGAAAATACAAGTCATTTAACCCTCCCGATTTCCAATTTCTCTTCATAAAAGAACAAAATTATACTAAAAGAACTCTATGATCCCTTCCAGCCATAAACTTTTGTTCCATGAAATTAATCAGCTATAATTGTTAACTTTTCACTTTTCAATATGTATGACCTAAAAGGCTAAAAGAAGGGCTCAGAATAGAGGTCAAAAATCAAAAAAATCATCCAGAGGTAATTTCAAGCTAAAAACAGCTCCTTCCAGAATGGAATTAATGCAAAGATCAGCATCCAAATAAGCACAAATATATCTACTTTTAAAACAAAACTGAAAATTAAAACAGCTGATCAACACTTTCCCAAAGTTTAATCAACAACTTTCATATACGAAAACTATCAAGGATAGCTATTTGTAAAATAGTGAATGACAAGAATACCTAATAATCTAAATGTTCATTTCATAAATAAAAGATTCCTAAAAACTCAGAAAAAGTTATGTAAAATAAATGAAGGCTATAAATAACTCAACTCCATCATCACAAATCCCCAGATTAAAAGGAGGCACCAAATGTCTAACTTTCCTCCTAACCTCCAGACCATAATGGCAGCTCTCCTCCTCCCCCAGGCCCCCCCCTTTTCGGTTTTAGAATGCCCCTCCTCCTTCTCTCAGCACCAACTCTGTTAGGAAAGAGTCCTGGACTCTGAGCAAGGACAATCCTGGGTCTGACTCCTAGCTCAGTGACTCCTGGAAAATCACTCAACCTTTTGGATCCTCCATGGCCTCATCTATAAAATGAGGGCAAATATAAACATGGTATCTATTTACCTCACAAAGTTGTTGTGGGGAAGCAGATTAAAGCATTCAAGTACAGTGCTTTGTCAATTTAAAGTCCTGCAGAGATTATTATTATTTTCACTAGCTGTATTCTAAAGGACAGGTTAGGTCTTGATGCCTGGGAAAATAAGTTTTAATACAGCAATAACATTGGCTTTTCAAGGTATTGACATAAGGAAAAACAGACTTGCCCAAAGGGACACAGAATCACTACCACTTTAAAGCCAACCTTTTAAAATTGAAAATATCACAATAAAAAATTTTAAACTTTGAACTTGCCTGAATGCCTTTTAGTGAAGAAACTCCCATATACAGAAAAACACCATAGAGAACTGGCATTGGAATAAACTGTAAGTCAAAAGATCACAATCAGAATTCACACATGGAAACAGCAAAAAACAACAGCTAAGCACAAAGTGATACAGTCACTAGATCTCAATACACAAAAGAATAAGGTAAATAGTCCTGGGCACAAGACCAGGAGACCTCATGGTGACTCCAAATATATTCTATAAGAGAAGAAAATTTTAACAATGAATTGGCTCATAAAATCTGAATCCTTAAGTAGTTCAAGTTCCCTAACCAATACTGATAATGAAAGGTGACTTACAGACAACCTTTGTGTCAAACTACCACATTTGTGATGATCAGGCTTCAAGGCATGTATGTGTGGCTTAGAGAAAATAAATGCCAACCTCAGAACCAGCATGCTTTGGTTTTGGTCTTGGCTATGTAACCTTAGTAAGTTATTTAACTTTGCTGAGAGACTCAGTATGTTCAACTATACAATAAGGCAACTGAAAAAGAACGATCTCTTTAGTCCCATCCAGGGATAAATCCTAAGGCTATATAATTAAATACAGGATATGACAAAAGCATATTCTTTCTATACAAACAATCAACCATATAATCAATTGTGACAGGGAGACAACCTATAAAAGCAAATTAAAAATTATCATGTCATTTCTTATTTGGTGATAAACATGGCAATTAGTGTATTTTTTCTCAACTCCAAATCACAGTCAATATTAAAATGTTAGATGAATTTAATATCTAAACCATTCTCACAATAAATATTTTAAATGTACTTTAGGAATTATTATTATAATGATATAGATAATTACGTGTGCCTTAGGAAGTTACATAATCTTGTTTTTATGGTTTTTCCACAACGGGAGAAAGAAGTGTATGATTGGGGGGGTGGGGGGGGAAGCAGAAGTGGGAGAGAAGGTTAAAAACGCAGATTTCTCCAGCATGAGATTTAATACTCAAAAAAGTTAAAAACTTCGGCATTTAAGACAGAGGTGGTATTCTTTGATATTAAAACCTGTACATTGTTCAAGAGTGGTAGATGCATTCAGGAGAGACTTCAATTTGCTGAAGAGCAGCTATGTGTGTTTATTCATGCGCACAGCCAGAACTTCCTAAGTCAAGGCCCAGCGCTCTATCTGTTTTGCCATTTGGCTGCCTCAGTTATCCTGAGATGTGAACCTACATAACGAGGAGAAGGGGGCCCGTGACATCTACTCTGGGATGTCCAAGAAGCAACCAGAGATGAGTGACAGTAGCTCAGAGAGATTAGGACTGGAAATCTAGATGTGGCAATCATCTGCGTAGAGAGCACTGCTGAAGCCATTGAGGAGACCACCAAATGAGAGACCATAGGGAGAAAAAAGGAGACATCAAGAACCAGTCATACAAATGGGAGGAAGACCATGAGCAAACAGGTTTCTAGGAGAAAACCTAGAGGAATAGCTGTCCACAAGGCAAATGACAAGTCTAAGAGAAGTGAAGGAGGGCCAGCTGAGAAAAAGGCCACTAAATCTGGCAATGAAGAGAATACTGGCAACATTGGTGAACGAAGTTTCACTGAATTACAAGGCCAGATGACAGGTAAGTCAAAGAACAGGAAATGGGCACCTTTCTCAGAGTTTAACAGAGGAGATTCAGAGTCAAAATCCAGCAGGAATGGTCAGATCAAGAAGGGATTTTTTTACGGATAAGAGACATAGCCATGTTTGTGTGCAACAACGAAGGAGCCAACAGGATGAGAAGGAAAATAAGGGAGAAGCAGCAGGGATGATAAGGAGGGCAACTTTCTAGAGAAACCGGGAGGCTGTGGGATGTTGACATATCCTTAGCTTTTTGCTACTGGCAGCAATGAATACATACATTTTGTTAGGTAAGTGTATAATGATTTAAGACTAAACCAAGCTTCATGTCAGAATTGTTTTTCTATACAGTCTCCTTAAGAGCCTAAAGTTGTGCTATTTTAGGATTTCTAATTATTCTTCATGACATCTTTTCATCATACTTTTATTTTTTTTACTTAGTACTAGTATGGGTGCTTTCATTCTCCATTATTATTATTGTTTTTCACATAACCAAATTTGATTAAGCTTTGCCTATTTTATACAATATTGTCAATATTTTTATGAAGTTCTCTGTGTTTCATGGGTGTAGATCTTCGATGGGTGAATTACAGGAGGACAGATACAAAAGTCTCACTGGATAAGGTGCAGAGATGGTTGCAATGTGAACCACTAGAGAGTTTAATTCATGCCAATGAGATCGTGGATACATAGAATTACTTGAAGCATCTTTAGGTGGATTCTCCTCTACCTTTAGGCAAGCATACAAAGAAAATTATACAACAGTTTTTAAGATCATATTCTAGATTTAATATGCAAACTCCTATCAATTAAACATCATCTTTGAAAACTCTATACCATTTCAAATTTAATAACTACCACTAAAATCCTTTGAACTTAAAGTGAATTTAATAAACTCAAGCTTATTTTAATTGGACAATTTTTATACTACTAAACATGAGCTTCAACCTTAAAATATTGTTCTTAAGACAATTTAATGAAAAATTATCTTACCTTTAATATAGAAGTCATGAACACAGACAGGCCCATCAGAACAAAAATTAGTAAGCCTGTTACTCGCTGCTCCCGGATTCCCAGAAACTTAGGCTGTTCACCTGGAGCAGAACATTCAGATTCAACTTTTAAGCTGTTTACGTGACTTATGGACAGAACTGTCGCAGCCACAAACCATGGTAGACCCATAACTGAGCAAACGCCCAACATCACACCAACCATGAGCAAATCCAGATGATATCCAGCTCCTTTCTGTAAAGTCAAGCAAAGGTTTCTCATATTCTCAAGTGCCAACTCACTTTAGGAAAATATTTCCAGTAACAAATCAAGCAACTTATTTTTATGCCAGAGCCATGATGAAAATACTAACAAAATAATTCATATCTGAATTACTGAAGTAGAAAGAAAATTAAAATTACCTTCAACTTATGTTCCTTTCGATTTATGATGACTGCTGTGATTTGCTGATCCATGAAAATGAGGATAGTACAAAGCAGCGCTGGAATAGCAGCTATTAATAATGTCCACCATGGGTTATCGCCCAGTGGGCTGATGAGCCAACCCCTCTCTTTATGAGTAGGCTAGGGAGGAAAAAACATTTAAATAATAAAAGTTAAAAAAAAAAAAGGAGAAGTTTATAGGTCTCCTTCCTCTAATCCTTGGAAGCTACAGAAGTACTTCCATGTTTCACTAATGTTTGTTGAAAGAAAAGGCTAGAAGAACTTGGTTGAGAAACGCTCATGGAAAACCGGAGTTTTCTATGACATCTGAGCATAAGGCACTGGATGAAATGGCTCCAGGTTAGGACAGACAGCATTGTAATGGGCCTAAACTAGCATACCAAACTGCCTAAATGTCAGGATAGATACAAGAAAAGGCACTAAATTTAAAGTATGAATCCCAGCTCTCTGCCATTCACGCCTATATGACCTTGGGCATGTCATTCAACAGATGAAAGTCTATTTCCTCACGTGTAGAAAATGAAGGGATGTAATACTAATCTCTGAGAGCCCCTCTATAACTCTAGCTCCAATGATCCTTGACCCTCTATCTCAGGGATGAGGAACCTGTGGCCTCGAGGCCTTCTAGGTCCTTGGGTGCAGGCTTTTGACTGAGTCCAAGTTTTACACAACTAATCCTTTTATTATGAGGATTTGTTTTGTGAAGTTTGGATTCAGTCAAAGGGCTGCACATGTCGCCTTGAGGCCCTGGGTTCCCCACCCCAATCTCCTCTTCTCTTACATACTGCAATATGATTTATTTAAAGCAATGATTTTTAATAGTAACTGTGTGTTCAGAGGAGCTCTGTGCTCTAGTTCTGCCATCAAGGGATCCTAAGGTTAAGTATACACACATCTATCTACATATGCTTTAATTTCCTAATAGTTTTTTTTATGGAAATCACTTTTCTTCCATGAAAATAGTGGCAATTACAAACTGGAAAGTAAATATTTTGCTTATTTTCATGACTTCCAAATTCCTGAAATTTTCATGACCTCCGAAAAGATTTCCCTTACTAACCTAAACCCAATAATCAACATCACAATGTTGATGTGCTTGCAAACATTTTATACTTTACTGTCTATAAATTGCTTTTATTTTAGAGCTATTCTTTGTCTTATCTCCCTAGATATAATATAATCTCCTTGAGGCCAAACCCTCAAGGAAACATCCCAGTATCATAAAATCACAGGATGTTACATCTAGTTGGATGTTTAGTACAATGCTTAGAAAATGCCCCAGGTTCTGTCCTTCAACACATTTAGTCATGTAAAGTCTTTATGTTACTGTTTAAATATTAAGGCATTAGTAGACCCTTACAAGACTATAGCTCCTTAATGGAAGGGCTGTATCTAGAATCTAAACTCTTGCTGATGCTTTGCACATAACAGGTACTTAACTCAATATTTTTTAAATGCACTCTCTCATTTTACAGATTAAAAAATGAAGTTAAATAGTGGTACAGTCATTGGAAAAACAACCACTAGGTTCAAAGTCTGTGAGGACCAGAGATTAAGTCTTGGCTCTGTTTGCCCACCTGTACGGCCTTTGACAAGTCACTTAAAGAGAGGTCCAGAGAAAATTATCTCTAAAATAAGGGTACTGGACTTGATGTCCTATGAGGTCCTTTCTTGTTCTAAATCTGTGGCCTTTAAATTTATTTTTCTAAAGATCACAGCTATTAACAACCATATATTCCAAATATATTATTAATAATAATGGCTGACATTTATATAGATCTTTAAGGCTTAGAAAGCACTTATATATGTAATTTCATTTGGTTTTCAAAACAACTCTAAGAAGTAGGTGCTATTATTATCCCCATTTTACAATGAGGAAACTAAAGCTGGGAGAGGTTATATGACCTGCCCAGCATCACCCTACTATTAAATGTCTTAGGCAGGATTCTAATTCAGGTTTTCCTGCCTCAAAGTCTGACACTTGATCTCCTATGCAACTTGTCTGCCATAAATCTAACTGGCAAATAGTATTTTCTTACCATATGAATCAATGGATATCTACTTTAAGGCATTCTTTTGTTTGGGGGGGGGGCGCCCTAGGCAATGGGATTCAGTGACTTGCCCAGGGTCACAAAGCTGGTAAGTGTCAAGTGTCTGAAGCCGAATTTGAATTCGGATCCTCCTGCCACCAAGCCCGGTGCTCTATCCAATGTGCCACCTAGCTGTACTCCAGGGCATTCTTTTTAAAGGTCATTTAGTATAATGCGCTGCCAATTAAACACATGGAAATGCTAAAAAGAAAAAAAATTTTAACAATTTCACATCAAAGTAACCCATGTTTTATATAAAGGAAATGTAACTTATAATAAATTATTAAGATGTATCAGAACATTCCCATTGAAGAGAAAAATAAGCACTTGGTGCTACAATACTGCCAACAACAAATTGCGTTGAACAGAATCACTTCTTAGTATAAGACTGTTCTAATTTAGCAGGCATCTTCAATCTGAAAGGGCAGACTTCAACTCCATCCATATGTCCTCTCAGCCTTCTGGTGGGAATTCCCTAGCTGGAGCATGTGCGTGCACACACACAAACCTCACTTTCCTGTCCTAGAAGAACTGTGGCAATTCAGTCCCCGTAGAAAATAAGTAATACTTCACTAACTCCTTGTTCAATAAGCAATCTGTAAACTAACTTGACCATTCCACAAGCAAAGATGAAGAGTCTGATCTGCTCAAGGTGCTAGGGGACCAACAAAAGAATCACACAGTCCTCGCTCTGCTGGAGCTAAAATTCTATTGATGGGCACAGTGTAGACAGCCTAAGTAAGTACTAGGACTGGAACTCCTGAATAGAGAAGGTTGAGATGCCTGGTCAATAGAAAGAGTCACAAAACGCTGAGCAAGCAGAGAGACATGAGAGGTGCAGAGAAAGCAGAAGAGGCAGGAGAGGTAGCAGGCACACTACCCGCTGCCAGGCATGCTCCTGGGCACTCTTTCACCCACATCCCCCCTCTGTGCCCTATTAGCTGGTCCCTTCGCCCCTTACTCTCTTTTCTTCCCTTCTTTCCCATACCCCCGCAGGCCCTCTGTCCCTTTAGAAAAACATTGTGTTTTAAAGCTCCAAGAATAACAAGAAAGGCCACGGTTCCTCTTGTGGCTTTTACACTGCTCATCAATAGCTATTATATAAGGACACCTCCTCACACGTTTGTGTGCATGACCTTTACCTCAAATTTTTCAGGAACGTGAAGTTTAGGAGAAGGAATACCCACAAGGTAGTCAATGGCAACCATAGTCACTATCGTGAGAAACACAGCAAAATCACTGATGGTCGATCGGACCTAAAGGAAAAGCACCAAGTTAGTGTGTAAACGTAGTGGATACTATGCACTCTTCCCAAATAACTCACAGCAGTCACAAATCATGAAATAGGGGGTGGTTTGGGTGATGAAAATGTTTGTGAACTAAATCTGCATTTAATTCCCCAAAGAGTAGATATCTAACTATATATGTGACTAAAATAGCTTTTCTCACAGATTCTCCTCCTAAGTAAACTCAGAAATGGCCACATACCACGCACACTCGCTATGAAACGCAACATTCCTGGTCCTCTTTAAATCTCTGACACAAAAATGATTAACCTCAATGCAAGACTAGTTTTAATTTAAATACAAATTATTAATTTTTTACAACCTCCAAAGTTGTATTCAATTACCTTGGTAGGAAAATAACGCTTGGTCTTAAATTGCTTCAGGAATGATGAGAGAAAAAACGTTGTGAAGAATAAGATGACACACCAGAAGAGCACATCAGGAATATAGGGCCCATGAAGACCACAGGCTGGGCCCAGGAAGACACCATGATACTGTTTACATTCCTGGAAAAAAAGGGAAGAAATTCTGGCTCTTTTAAAGTCAACTGAAGTCATTATTTGCTCCTACCTTTTTCCAAACAGTGAAAGGGTGACTAAATTACCCATCAAGCACAATCAGTTGGAGCCAAGATGGTTATCACAGAACAATTCTGCACAAATGTGCTTTTTCACTAAAGGTAGGTTTTTCACTAGAGGCAGGTATTCAAACGGAATAAAAAAGACAGGTGAAACCTTAGTTGGCAGGAAGAGGGGTGACAGGGAGACATTCCAGAAAGATGTCTTCCAACAGCAGCACTCTCATTAGAGGGCAACTGCTGGCCAGACCACCATTTCTTCTTTCTGCCTGACCGCAACACAGGAGAGAATGTGAGCAAGTGAAAAACAATAAAGCAGAGGTTTCTGAGCCACTCAGAAAGGCCAACTACAGAAGGAGTCTCTCATGAATTCTACTCGTCTACAGAAAGAATGGACTGGCTGGGCTTGTGAAGAAACGACGGGAGAAAGATTCTGAGATGAGAGCCACGTCGAAGGCACCAGTCCAGCTTTCTCATGCCTCTTGTCTGCAGCTCTGGAGAGCAAGAATGCCTTCACAAGTAGAAACGGTGAGTTGGTATTACTCACTGTTCACTGCCATTCTCTATCAGCTCACATAAACAGACTTAATTCAATGAAACTCCATTACATAGTTTTCATAAGCCAAATATGAGCTGCTTTTAGTATCAGTAAAGTTGCCCCAATATTAGTAAGAAAGATGTCTGGTACACCTTGCCAGTAAAATTTCTTCCAAAAATAAAATGCATTAGCTAAAACATTTTTTTAAAAGCTAATACTAACTTTACTACATTAAAAACTGGCTTTAAAAAATGAAATGTGATTTCAAAAGTAACAATTTCAATAAATAATTAAGGAACAATGCTTCATTCCAATGTAGATGAAATGAACTGCATTTGCCTATACTAGACTACCTGCATTCTACCCTAGTTGTATCATAATCCTTTTAATGTCTCTTGTCTCATCCTCCTCTGAGGGACTTTTGACAAAGGCTGATCTCAAGCAAGGATAATGCTTGGGAAAGAACTCACGTCTATGACTATGAGTTTCTATAGCAGGGCCTACACCAGAAAAGACAGAACAGCCTAGAAGAGATGAGAGCTGTGGTGTTCATCCCTGGGAATCTACCTAGTACATCAGGAAAACAAGTTCCCTATCGAGACAAGTCAATGAACAAGAAGTAAGCAATGACTGGTTGGGCCCACTGCCGTGGTCAAATCCAGTGGAAGCAGATATTTTGGTTAAAAGACAATTTTAATCATTATTACATTCTATTTTTATGGTGCTTTATAGTTTGCAAACTGCTTTCTACACAATATCCCTATAATATAAGTGGTGCAAGTATTACTATCCTGATTTTATACAGGAGGAAACGGGCTGGAAGGTGAGCCCAGACCCAAACAGACAACAGTAAGGCAGTTCTCCTTCCACTGCTCTCCAGCCATTCTCTGAGATGTTCAGTCAGCTGAGCTAGAAAGTGAGACCATTCTTTTCGTTGGTAATATTTTAATAAGCCATCTGCTTGAGGCTCATCTCTTGTTACAGTTTTTTCCCCCTTTTTACTTAAGTGGTTTATAACAGGATGATAAACTTTATTTGACTCCATAGCAGGCTCAAAATCAATTCTAAATCTAATGGCTATATCTTAAAAGTTTTCTAAAACCATTTCCATATGAATTGGAAAAGCAAATGGAGGTTAATGAGAATAAAGCTGTCATGAAGTCAAAACTAACTTGCAAAATGAATAGTATTTTTCAAGTATATTTCAATACTCACTTCAACAGTGAGGTTGCCCCATGAAATTGTCTGTGATGACCGATTCATTGCGATCCATTTCTTGAGCGTTTCATTGCTAGGATTTGGAGGCTCAGTACACAAGCATCTAAGAACCATTAAAGGAAATGCTTTCACAGTTGATGTGTTTAATTTTGAAATTTAATTAAACTAAGAATGCAGCATGGCAATTTTTGACATCTTAATATTTTTACCACATAGAAATCTGAGGGGAAAATATATCTTATACTACTATTAAAGGATAACAGAGAACATGGTCTTCATTACGTATAATTTAACATAACAAATACCCACTCAAAAATACATACTTAATAGAGAAAGGATAATTAAGAAAGCCTTTAAGGAGGATTAATTTCTAAAAGAATACAGAAGATACTACGACCCAAAGCAGCCTATCTACAAATGCAGCCCAACTACAGAATAAATAAATGCAAAGACAGTCAAAGGAGTTAGTGTTAGGAGAGACTATATCTTAAGGGAAGAGGGAGAGGTCAGAAGGGAATTAATGCCAAGCATGCAGAACAATGGTGAGTCCAAAGGCATGGGAAAGAGAGATAAGGCGGGTTAGGAATAAGGAAGAGGACAATTTGAATCTCACACAGTGTGAGCAGGGGAGTAATGTCCAAGAGAGCTGAAAAGATACATGGAGTTGTATATGGCTTTGAAAGCTAAACAAAGGAATTTTATTTAATCCTAGAGGCAACAGGGAAACAGTGGTGTTGACTGAGGAGGAGTCCAAGATTGAATTTAGAGGAAAATTACTTGGGCAGTAAGTGTCTTTGGAGGTGGGGAAAAGACCTGAGGCAGGAAGAACAATTAGGAGGCTATTGCAATAACACGAGAGAGAAAAGGGGACCTTAACTAGGTGGAGAGGAGTTAGATGCAAGAGATGCTATAGAATGAGAAAGGAAAATCTGGCAACTGATCGTGAATAAGAGAAAGTGAAGATTCTAGGATAATGTTGAAGTTAAAAACCTGAAAGGCTAGTGGTGCCTTCAACAGAAACCAGGAAACCTGGAAGAGAAGAAGACTTAAGGAGAAAAATAATGTTGAATTAAAGATGTCTCCAAGAGTTTCGGCCAAGATGGCTACCCGAATGGAGGCAGATCACCCAATACCACAAACCTAACTCCAGCAAAAACCTGAAATTTATATTACTGAAGAAACTTGCAAGTGACCAGAATTTCTTCCACACTAGAACTGCACAAAAAGTCAGCCACAAGCCCAGGGACAAAAGGAAAGAGAACAGCTACAAAGATTACATCAGCACAGGTAAACAAGCTGCAGCTTCCCAGCATAACCAAAAGTATGTGTAACCTACAAGACTATGTATCTTGAGACTACTATGGAGGTCCTAAGGTCCTAAAGTCCTAAGGTGGGGGGATCTTGGAAACCTTGGGAGCATCACCAACTATAGCCCAAACTATAGGACTCCAAAGTTCCTAGCACTCTGCCCTGAGAAGGCACAAAAAGCAATAAAGATCCAGCCTGACCAACTGCAAAGATCTAAGAGAAAAACAAAACGATGCATGGTTGGACATAGTCACCGTGCCAATTCATTTTCTTTGATCATGCTTATCTGTCACACGGGAAAGAGGTTTTGTTGCCGTTCCTGCTGCTATTGCCAATATTAAATAAGAAGGGGTTATGAGAAAAGACGACAAGTAGCAACAGGGCTACCAGAAAAGAAAATAACTGTACACATATGAGAACATAAAAAAGGTCAGAAGGAAGCACAGACAAGGAGAGATTTCAAGGAAGCACATGGAATCATCTTTAAAAGAACATCAAGCAGATATGAAATGGAGACTCATGATTTCAAATATAATTCTCTTATTTAGGTTCTGTTGTGTATAAGGAACTGCTTTCTTTTTTGGCATTTAAAATCAATATAAAAATATATGATAAAATTTTAAATTTTAAAATGGGGGAGAGGGCCGGGAGAGAATGTCACTGGAACATCTACTTTGCAATGTCAAGTAGATAAATGGTAATACAGGACTAAAGCTCAGGAGACATATTGGGACTAGAAATATATGTCTGGGAGTACTCTGTACAGAGATGGTAATTAAACCCATAGGAACTGCTCAGGTTACTAAGAAAGAAGCATATAGAGGAAAGGGGGCCTAGACAGGATCTTGGGGAACACTCACAGTTAGGCAGGAATGATAAAAATGACGAGTCAGCAAAGGAGCCATGGAAAAAAATGGTCAGACAAGAGGAGAATGTACAGGCAGTAACTATAGAAAGTTTTTGCTAGGAAATAAGAAAGAATAATGCTTAAATGGATGGTAGGGAAGGGTTATTTCTGTTTTTGTAAAGGACAAAGGATATCCGGCATGTTTAAAGGCAATAGGGAACCAGCACATAGGAAGAGTCGGAAAACTGGGAGTGGGGTTAGTGAGATTGTAATCACTGAGCATGATTGGGGGTCTGGGGAGGGGGTGGGAGGTGTGGTAATGATGTAAAGAGGTTCGCCTTGTCAGGTGTCACCTGTCAGAGATTGGGGGAAAAGAAGCAAGATGAGAAGACGATATCAAAAGGTTCTGAGATTAAGAGAAGGGGAAAAAAGGGAACTCGCTTTGAATGGCTTCAATTTTTTCAGCACAGTAGGAGGTGAGGTCTGTGTGTTGGGAGAAGTATAGGTTAGATTTGGTCGAATGGACAGAAGAGGGGGGAAAGAACAATTAATGGTAGAAATTTGTGATGGGAATTCCAAGCAGCAATGAGGTCGGCTGAAAAGCGACAGCCAAGAGAAATGATCACAAAGAAGAAATAAATGAATAGTTAGAACTCCTAGGAGGCAATAAGCCAAAGCATAAACTGAGTCATATACATGTCAATAATCTTTAAAGGTATCACTGCCAGGACGGAGAAAAGGAAGAACAAATTAGAACATCATTACAGCCTAGAAATAGTTAATATAAGGATAAATAACCCTATGTATTTCAATAATCCCAGAAGGCATCAGTATATTAAAACACGGAAAAATAATTTACATCAAAGTGATGATCTTAAGCCATTAACACAAGCTTAAATTTCATTCAACATACTGTTGATTAAGGCTGGGAATGATATAAAACTAATTTTAGGGAAACTTTAAATTTTTGAGTTTCAGTATTTTTTTAGAAATCCATCAAATTTAATCAAGAAAGCTTAATAAGTAAAAAGCTTTTTAATTTTCTAAATAATACAAAGAAAAGCATCTCTTTCCAGTAATAGACTAGTAGGTTATACAAAACAGAACTACTGCTTTACCTATGCATAGAACTCAATGTAGTTCAAAGTTAAATGATACTAATTCCAATGTCTTTTTGTTTAAAACTCAAAGAAATTTTTCTCCATGAAATATACAGGTGGTTATTCTCTTTTGGTCTAAGACATAAAAAAGTTAGCTCTTCTGTCATATTCATTGTATCAAGAGGTCTGAATTTCTTCCATTTCACCAATATTCTTGTTTAATCACAACCTCCAAAAGGGATAATGATGCTCTTGCGGTCACAACACACACATTGCAGAGCCAAGACTGATGGAGAATTCAACAAGATGACAGTAATGCAAGTGAATGCCTCTGTGTTATTGGACTTCACAAAGGCCTAGCCCTAACTATACATAGTGTTTCTGCAATGTTTAGGAAAATGCAAAAATAAATGTAATACGTATATGTATGATACACTATATGTTTTAAAATACAGTTTTGCAATGTACTGCATTTAATTTTAATAGTTTAGAAAATACATAGCTAGCTAACAAAATTCTTATAGATCACAGAGGGTCCAGCAGATCAGTTCGGCAATTAATGATTCTGTCTACATCCCCATTTTGGTATATTACACCTTGTTAGTAACAAAGTGAGGTCTTTTAACTCTGAATTAAAATGAAACATGATAACTAATTAATAAACAAATTAAGAGAAACACTTACGAATAGGATGTCAGTTTGTCTAGGTCATTGTGCATGTTAAAAGCATAGACTTCTCCTAAATGAAAGAGCTTTTCCAATGCTTCATAGATAAATATGATGCAAATAAGAGCTGCGAAGGCTTCTTCGGTAAACCGAGTGATGTAACACACAAGGCTGCTTGCATCTGTTGCTACCAAGACAACACACAAGAAGGAAGTCCAGAGACCAATGCTGGTCCGTAATGATAGATAGGAAAGACTGTAATCTCTGTTTAAAAAGAAACATGCACATATGTAGTACAAGTCAAAAGCAGCACTTTCCCTCACATTCTTTAAAAATGCATAACATGAAACTAAACATCCTAAGAGACATTAAATGGGCAACAAATGGAAATAAGGAAATGAAATCTTTTCTTTACTTTGAGACTATCTTCCTTCCATTAACAAACTTAAGTTTTATTTTTGCATAAATATTCACACAAAAATTGACAAGGAAGATATGTGTAACTGCAGATACTTCAAAGAATATTGATTTTAAACATTTAACAGATCCTAGTTTTCACAGCCTGAAAATAATCACTGAAATACATTTCCCCTTAATTTTAGAAAATATTACACAAAGCTAAAAGAACTATCACTTACTTGCAGAATTTAAATAATATTTTTTCAAATACAAGAACTGGTCCTGTACTTCCTAATATTGTAAGTGGCTGCCCAGAAAACAATGAATAGGCGATCCCAGTTAACGATGCTCCAAAAAGAGATTCTATTGCACTCTGGTTTTGGGGAGAAAAGCCATAAAAACAAATCCATCACAGATATTCCATTAATCTGCTATAAGCACATAGGCATCTAGAAAGGAAGCCTGAATAAAAATATTAATCAAACAAATGATACCATCATTTATGGCAGTATAAGCTACACAGTCAGTAAGAAAAAAACTTAAAAATATTTATTCAACAGAACATGCCAGACCAAAAGTAAAAACTGTAAAAAAATGTGGAACATTAACACATGTAGGGAAATATGCCTTTCCTCCTACTTATTACAAGGTATGTTCTGCCACATACCTGCATTAAAACTTAATATGACGAAACCATTCATGAGGCTTTAGTAAAAACACTGATTGACTGTCACTAAGGCATTTTTTATCTAACAGACAAACAAGAAACCTATATATACATATATATATATATATATATATACACACACACACACACACACACACACACATATACACACACACACACACCCCAAAGGCCTATTCAGAAACGTTCCCAACGCTGAAACTAAAATCCTACGTATAAACTAGTCAGGGAAAAGTCAGGGAAAAGAAAATTCTAGTAATTTTCTTATACTTTTTCTGGATTTTTAAAAATTTTAAAACAATAAGTTCTCTTTTATTATTAAAGTTTGAAAAAGAGAATAACCATGAAAAGAAGCCAACCTGCCTCAAAATGAAAGCATGCTAACTTAGGGCCACTATCAAAATATGACTGGGGAAGCAACAAACAACTATTTGACAGGAAAATATTTTTTAAAATTAGAATTAACTGCTCACCAACACCCCACCCTTCATTAAACTGGCCTAACAACAGTATAAGGAAACTAGAATAAGGCGGAAAATAACTGTAAGAAAAGTAAATTTGGGTCAAATAGGATGTCCCATGGTCCCCTTAACTGCAATACAACCTCTTTCAAAATTTAAAAGTGACCTTATGTTATGGAAGCAAAATTAAATGATTAACTTACAACCTGGATTGTGTCCACAGGCAAAATTGTCTGAGGGAGTAAGCGTCATACCAACAATAACATGTTCAACTGTGTAAATGTTTCATATTATGAAATAAGACAACATACTTGGAATTTGTCCTTGAGTTCTAGATTAATAATGAACTGTCTTAAACTCTGCTGAAATGCATATTTGTTAGAACTAATTTATATAGTAGTATAGGTGACAAAAGAAATATAGATAAAATGGTATCTGAGAAGAGAAAGCCAAAACTATTGCAAAGATAGTACAGTAATGAAGCGATAATACAACAGCAAACAGGAAGAGTCAGGGACCAGCTCCTGAAACTCCTCAGCGAGGGTCAACATATAAAACTCCACATATACCATTTACAGGAATGTTTCCTCCCTTTGGAATGATAGTATGTATGAATGCATCTGTTTATTTTGGCATCTTTCTGCCCACAAATCTCCCCTTGCCCTCTGGAGGGCTGGGTCCTCCATTCTCAGACTCAGCCTGCTGCGTGTGCTATGCCACCTCGTTTCTTATTCTCTCTCCCCTAGGTCTCCTACCTAGTTCGATCCAAATCAACCCACAACTCCAGAGAGACACATCAGCCATGCTCTGGTCAATTATACCCTCATATACACAACACTCATTCCTTATTCCAAGCCAGATCTATCCTCACTTCTCTCTCCCTACAACCACCTTCTACTATACTACTCTGCAAAACCTACCAGCACTGGAGGCAGACATCCCTTTAACAAAGAATTATTTTTTTCATCTTCCTCTATCTCCTTGACCTAAATGAACCTGGCTCTCTGGAAATAATTTATACTCCACTGCCCCTTCCCACTGACAGGGCAATTTTACCCAATCCTCCCAAAGAAAAAGGAAATCTGCCCTGAATTATCAACATGCCTTTCAAAACAATAAGAAAAAATGACACTCTCCCTTTTCATCATTTCAAGTCCACAACATATTTGTCTGTTCTCTTCATATCAAAACTGCCATTATCTGCTGTCTCCTGAATCATTTCCTAACAACCTTTCCAGAAAACTTCAGCATCAAGTCCACATTCTTCCTTTTTCCTTAGTTCACAGTAGTCAGCACTTAAGTGATTTCAATATTCAGGCTAATGAGCCTTCATCTCATGGTTCCTGAACCTCTTTGTTTTGTAGACCTCCAAAAGTACTCCACAACAACTAGTCCAACTCTCTGAACTTTCTCATTTTAAAAGACGACTTCAACCTCTCCAAGACCTCCAATACTCCATCTTATCTATCCTCTCTTCAATCAACCAACCAATCCATCAATCGATAAGCACTATGCTAAATGCAGGAGAGAAAACTACAAAGAAAAGAGCCAAGGGGAAAAGCCCCACTCTTCAGGTTCTAACAGAAGAAACAACAAACACAGATTAGCACAGTGCTTGGCACATAATAGGTGCTTAATAAATGCTTGCTGATGACCGTTTATACAGAAAAAATATAAACAGAATGAATAAGAAGTAGGTAAATACAAGGCAGTTTGAGAGGACGGGTACTAGAGGGGAGGAGACAACAGGAAATGCTACTTAATACATTTAGAAACATTATTCTGAGAAGAGGCTCACAGGCTTCACCAGACTGACAGAGGGGTCCATGACACACCACAGGCGGCTCTGAACACTCCTCTCTCCCAACCTTTTTGCCAGATTAATCTTTTTAAAAGCACAAACACAACTTACGCTTTTTTGCCTCGATGCCTTCATTCACACTATTCCATCTAGAATGAACTCTCCTACCACATCTACCTATCAAAATCCTAGCCATCCCCCAAGGCCCAACTCAAATACTATAAAAGTATTCACTATCACAGAAGCCGGAAATTAAGCGTCTTTCCTCTGGACTCCTACCAATCATCAAATACTTCCTGTGCTGTACTTATATGTGTACATGTCTTAAGTCTTTGGCTTATGAGATCCTTTAAAAAAACAAAGGACTACATCTGTATCCTCGACATCCAGCCCAGTGCCTGGCACAAAACGGAACTTAATAAATTTGTGTTGATTGATTAAATACCAATTATTTGAAAATGTAGCTTTTTTAAAAAAAATTAAAGCAAAACAAATGAGATTTTATGATATTCTAAAACAACTGCTTAAAAATTCATATTTCAAAGAAAAAACTATTAGGTTTATTTTCATAATAAGTCTATGTAGTACTACACTTAAATTACTTATAAAACCATTTTTTAAAATTAAAGAACCAAATTTTTAGGCTTTGTTAGATTTCAGAATTTCATCAAAAGTAAGTTTTATACCAATGGTAAATTTAACAGTAGAAGAAAGAATAACTCACAATTCATAATTACGAACCATCACATTCAATCAAGTGCCAAAAAAAAAATATCAAGATTTCCAAGGCATTAGATATTAGATTAAAAGATACAATTCAATACACAATAACCACTTATAGTATTACCAACAAAAGAAAAAACATTTACGTTTATTTTTGTCACATTAAAAGAAGATTTTAGTAAACCACTCTTCCCTTGGGCTAGCTTTTTTATATTTAGATTAAACAGCAAAAAGTTAAAGAAAGCACCATTACAGAACCCAGTGTTTCTACAATTGTTTGAGAGCCCACAAAACAGGCCAAGGCCAACTAACCAGGTCAAGCTTATCCTCCTTCAGAAGGCCTCAGAAGATGGCATACCACTCTTACATTTCTCCACCCACCTCCCACTGCTCTTTTCCTCCTCCTCCTCCACCCCATCCTCCCCTACCCCACCACCACCCCAAACAAAGACAATATAAGCCCTTTCTCAATTTATAAAGAAAGCCATTCAACCAGCAAGCTAGGACAAACATTTGTTTTTACCTCCACTGTGCAGCTTCTCCTGTTCACATGTGTTCCCCACATTTTCCACAGCAATTACCTCTAGGGAAAGTCTGCTTTGGGGCAGGTTAATCAAATGCTGTGGGTAAACTCTTCAAATACAAGTATGAATAGACGAGACAAATGCAGAGACACTTGCCTCTGAAGATCTAAAAGCCTGGCCACTACCATTCTTTGTACTCACTATTCTGCCTTCTGTAGCTTCTCCAAGGAGCCCTCCAAAAGTGATTACAGGAGACATACAGGCACAGTATAGGAAAAGAATCGAGGCCAGGCACTGCAGGCTTAATGCATCCTTGAAGTCACTCAAGAAAAAAGGTGCTTTCCTTTTGATGTCAAGTATCAAACCACCAAAAAGCCTAAATAGGTGAGATGAAACTCGTCAAACTGTACACTGAAGGATTCTAGCTAGTTTCAACTCATAGTATGGACTACACAAGATGGCCAGTGCCTATTGCTTGTCAATAGACTTTAAAATCATGATACACATGGAAGAAAATACAATAATTTAGTCTAATTCGAGGATGACAAGGGTTTTTAGAAAGCTGATTACATTATATTTGACCCAAAAAAAAGACAAATGAGAAGTTACAATATCTATTATGGGCTACATACTAAAAAGATTGCAGTCACATCATTTAATAATTGATGAAATCCTAGACACAAACATATAGGAGAAGTAGATGTACAATGCAAATTTTAAAATCCAGCCACACAACTTAAAGACAACTTGAATATATAGGACTCACTCCTACTAACTATATTCTATAACTACACTTTTGTATACACTTAGAAACATTATTCTGAAGAACAGCCTCAGAATTAATCTGAAAGGAATTTTAATCTCACTTTTCTGCATTAAATACACTACATCATTGTGAACACAAGATACAGCCAGGCATGGCAGATACTGAGCTGTCTTTGGAGCCTGGAAGACCTGGTTTCAAGCTCCACTGACACATTAGTAGCGTGTCAAACCTCTCAGTGCTCTGGTCAGGTTCTAAGACTACAAAGTGCCGACAAGGTACCTCACCCTTGAGTGAGCTTCCTCCACTGGAAGTGAAATTTAGAATCAATAAAATCTCAGGTCCAGTTTTTTCTCTATCCCTGTTTATAAAGGTCTACAGTATGTATTCTGCAGTATGTTATGGGAGGTTGAGAAAAGTAATTGAATATTTTAGCCAGTATAATGAAATAACATAAAATTTAAATAATGAAGAAAAACACTGCAGTATGTTTCCACATAAAATTATAAGCACTGGGATATGTTTAAATAATTCACTCTGCATTCAAAATATTTCCTAATTTTTCTGTATATAATAAACTTAAATAAACATGGAAAAAAATTTCAGTTGATAAAAGCAACATTAACATTTACATACCAAAGTCATGTCATTTAAAATGTTTATGTCACTCTTAAGCCTTTAGGAAACACACCTTGATACTGAATAAAATTTTGAGAGTAAAGAAGCAAAAATCTGTTGCTTGTCTATATAAGTTTACTATAACATTTTAAAAGGATAAGTCATTATTCAATTATTGATAGCAATAACGATGAAGGAAAGAACTGCATTAATAAGCCAAGTTTTCAGGTATGTACAGTATAGTGTTTTAGTGCCTTACATGATTTCCTCCTCCCCCAGCAATTTCTCCTTTGCTGTCTTTTCCTTAAATTTAATTTAATCTTAAACTTAATTTCCTTAAACTTAATTAATTTCCTTAAATTAATACTAATACTGGGTCCCAGTCTCTAAGCAAACATTGACCAAATACAAAGGTTATCATTATACAAAGGTAATATCCTGAAGTATATTACAAAGTAAGCCTATCAAAGATTAAAATTAACATAGATAAGGCCAAAGTAATTTACATAAAGATAATTTTAAAACTGAGTACATCATAAAGTTGGCTAACGTAAGGTTCTAAAGCCACTTGGGTCTATGTGTCTGGCCACCACTGTGTCCTCTGTTGCCACTGTCCAAAGAGCCAAAAAAATGTGATATGCCTTGGCGAACTCCTGGAAAAAGGCTCCAAGAACTCCTCAGGGAAAAAAAAAATCCTCCCAAGTTTTAGTGAAAAAGGAATAAATATCTATCTGCCTATCTATCTATCCTTCTAGCTATCTATCTATTTATAGCACTTCAGGCCATTTACCAAAATCTCTAACACCTGCTCTATGGCAAATGCTTTACTGAACAGATTTTGAGGATTCAGAATCTGTGGGCAAAGAAACAACTGTTGTTGAACGCTATCCTAGTAAAATGGAATTAACACATTTATCTCCATTCAAGGAGAATCAGAAAGTATTTGAAAAGTGTCAACTACGTTCCTGCACAGCTAAGTTTTTGTTCTTTGTTCCAATGACAAAATCTCCAAGTTATCTTCAAATTTCGCAAATGGCTTGTTTCTAATTTTATCCTTCTGGGCATTTCAATAAGATTTACTATGCTGCACCATTATTGCTGCAACAACATCAAATGATGTACTGCAAAATCAGTAGTATTCAGATTTCCCTACTCGTTATAAATAAGTCTTTAGCTGATACTCTTCTTCCTCCCTAAACTTTCATGCTCCTTTAATTGGTATCATTAAAATTCTATACTCTCTTCAAGCGTAGCCTGGGTTTGGACTGGAAGATATATGATAGCATATAACGATAGCATATGATAGCTGGAAAAAATGATAGCAAAAGTCATGCAATGTTTTGAATATCTAGCCCATTGTTATAAGTGGCTATAATTAAGTAAAATATATTCACATCCATAACATTAAAACTATTTTAAAATTATAGATAGGATAAATGTATATTTAAGATGGTGAAATTATTACCACATTTTAAAATGCCAAATATCAAACACTCAAGAGAAACAATACTCAAATACACACACACACCCCCCCTTACAGATCTATAAACATATACCACATAACAATCTACATTCCATGGAGCTTTCATATGATCTCTCTGAAATTCACACATGAGCCAGTAAACACACCTGCCAGTCCTCTGCAGTTCTGGTCCGGCATGATGGCCCTCCTCTTTCTGCATCTCACCTGATGAAGGTGTAGATCCATTTGGAAAGATAGGGATCTTCCTCTTTTCCTGCATTCAAAAACGCATAACATTACGTGATGTACGCATGCATGTGTGTACGCATCTGCAGCTGCATACATGTATGAATACACATCTACACATACACACACAGGCAGATTTTTCACAGCAGCTCATACTGAGGACGCTAAATTGGTCTCTTCAAAATTAGTCAGAGTAAAATGTTCACCAATTCTGGCGCTGATTGCTTTCCCTGAGAGTGAAAGGCACTGGGGAGAGTCTCCGCCTGAGTGTTTGTTCAAGCCTTCATCTTTGCCATTCTTCACTAGAGCACTAATATTTCAGTCTTCACGATCACTCTTTTATGTGTTCTCAAAAACATGCATGAAACATGTTATCTTTAAAAATCCAAGCAGTTTTTAAAAAGACGGAAATCGTAATTAATTTTAAAATAAAGTCTCCCCAAAAGGGAAATGACACAAATATCTAGGGTAAAAGAAAATATATACACCTTGATTTTCATGAGGAGATAAAATATCCTCCTCTGTTATTAAATACTAGAGCAGAACTTCTTAAGTGGATGGATGGGCACCACATAAGTCTTCGTTAAACTCTGGTTTGTAACAGAGTTTGTCACTTTGCCATTAACTTCCTATGGGTCAAAGAAGTGCTTTCATTTTTAAGCAGTCCTCATCATCACCCTTCTGTAGTAATCAGGCCTAAGTGGGATTCAACAAAAGATCAAACACCCACCCAACCCAAGGGACCACCCCAAAGGAGGGCCACTATGGTTCTGCCTGAAAAACAAATCCATTATTTTATTGATAAAATTGGATTTTAATACAATTGTTTTGGCACATACCACAGGCCAATTCCTATTATTACTCACATAAAGATTAAATTAAAACATTTACAATAAACATAAACCAAAAAAATAATCCTAATGAACCTGACCTGAGAAGGCACACTCTTTGGTGGCTCAATGCGTATAGAAGGGTCCCACTCTCCTGGAGGCAGAACAGTTACTTGGTCTAAAAATTCATCAATTCCAGAAAGAAGGTCATTTCTATCTTTTGCTTTATATGCAACATCATGGAAAATCTTAAGAAGAAAAAAAAGTATAATTTCCTATAATGATTTTCTATTTGATAGATTCAGCATATAAAATATATTCTAAAGAATCACAAATAAATCTATATCAACAGTAACAACAAAAGGATCCATACACCGTATCAAGTGCCTCCCTACTGGAATTATTAAAGTACCTCAACTGCAACCACACAACTAAAGAATGGTGCTTCCTTCCAGCCAAGCTGGGAGCGTACTCCCTGAACAATTAGACCATGCTACTTCACTCCACTAGAATAAAGCAAGCTTCTCTTAAAAAATTCATTTGAAGCTACTTGTTAGAAAGATATCAGATTAAAGTGTGTATTTTTAAAGTGTGTTTCCACTAGGAATAAATTAAGTTGCTAGCCTCAGGCTTCCTAATAATATATTGTTATAAAAAAAAAACCTTCGATGTTTCACATTCTATACAAAGGAGGGTGAAGATAAAAAGAGGGAGAAGGGAAGGAAGGGGGGAGGGATAGGGAGAGAGAGAGAGAGAGAAGAAAGAGACAAGAAAGATAAGAGGTAAGAATGAAAGAAGGGAGACAGAAAATGACTTTACAATCTTTTCCTTCTAAGTTATCAAAATATTGAATGCAAATCCTATCTTTGTCTGATATATCTGCCTGATATTGAATTGTGGAGAGACGGTTAAGAAAAAAAAATATGTCTACAATACATGATTTGACTTTAAAACAAGACATCTGAATTGTGGTACTATGGATGACTAAAGAATTGAACTTTTATTAGTACTATTTTCCCCAAAATAGATCTAAATGAAATAGACTATAAAGAAGATAACAGAATTAAAATGTTCCATTTCCTAGACACTTTAAAAATTCAACATACTGAAAACAAAAGAAAATGCAATTAGTGACTGAACTGCTGGACATACCTAAGATCACAGCTTCAGGGGAAAAGGAAGGTAGGAAAATGACAGAGCCTAAAGTCTTGGTGTTCTGCCATCTGGTCCCTCAGTGTCATATGATCATAGAGAGCTGGAAGGTACCCTGGAGGCCTGAGGCATCAAATCCAACCGTTCATTTTATAGACGAGAAAGATGAAGCCCATAAAGGTTAAATGACCTGCCCAGGGTTACATAGGTATTAAGTGGCAGGACAAGGATTTGAACTCATGCTCTTTAAATATAGGATTCTGCCCAGTGAGTCACTACGCTATGAAACAGAAGTACACTGGGACTTCAGTAATATTCAACTAACTTATCACGATTTGTTTCTTTGTTTGCAATATACAGTGCTAATTCACCAAAACATAAGCATGTTTTCCCTTACCTCATCTGTCATGAGGGTAGCTATTGATCTCCCAATTTCATGGTACTGTGGCGCCTTGCCTGCAGGGCCCAGTAATAGAAACAAAAACCTGGAAGAGATTTAAGATAGGGAGACACAGAATTTAAGGTAAGCCAAAAAGTAGGAACAACTTTCTAAAAATAATTCTAAGCAATTAAACACAGCCATTAGCAAAATGAGAAGGCAAAGAACTTCATGCAGAAAAGGACTGGCTGCACAGGAGGGCCATCAATTCTTGCTAATCTGCGCAAACCAAGGGATAATTGGCATAAATAACCAACAAATACTTTATTTAATTTTTGTGTTTTATATCTAGATGTGAAGGTAGCTACTAGTCTTAGAAATCCTCATCCAGCATGTATATGATGAGGACACAGTGGAGAGGTGGTCACCTCACCACAGTCTGGTGCTATAATGATCGCAGGTGCCTTCCGTCCTCATCGCCCCACAAGGTTACAGATGAGCTGGGACAAGGGAAGGGGCTCGTCCAGGGAATGGCTGAGATGGAATCTGAATTCGCCTTTTTTGTCTCCAAGTCCAGTGCTCTATGCCACACTGCTTCCCACATCTTTCACTGGAGACTCTGGACATAAAGTTTCCTTCATATTTAAAACTAAGATTCATATAATGCTTTAAGGTTGAAAAACATTTTCCTCACAATGATCATTCCCCCACCCTCACACCTTGTCCTTTTGGCTCACAAAAGTGACATTACTTTCCCAAAATCCCACAGCTGGTGGAACCAGAGAACCTTAAGAATGGAAAAAGACCTCCCCCGCTCCTTTCTCCCCCTCCTCTTCTGCCTCCTACCCCTCCTTTTTCCCTTCTTTCTTTTCCTCCTCCCCCTCTTCTTCATCCCCTCCTCTTCCCCTTCTTCCCTCTTCTCCCCCTGATCTTCCCCTTCCTCCCTCCCTTCTCCCCTTCCTCCCCCTCCTCCTCCCCTTTTTCCCCCCTTCTCTTCCCCTACCTCCTCCCCATCTCTCCTCTTCTTCCTTCCCCAAAATGATCAAATCCACCATGCTTCCTAACAAATAAAACTATCTGCACCATCACTGACGACGAGTCAGTGGGCCACCAAGCCTCTGCTTGCAGAATCCCGGTGACACTAACTCACCAAGCTGAAGAGCTCCAACTGTTGGAAAGTCTGTCCAACTACAATCTGCCTTCTTTTGTGGAGCTTTACTCTCCAGACAACTACCAGCTCTCTTGCACATGCTAATGATGACAACTGAAAATACCACCTCAGTTAACTGTCAGATTTAGTGCTATGCCAGAGAAATTGCAGAGGAGATAAGTTTTGAGAATCAGAACAAATAATAAAAAAGGCCTACCATTTTAAAGGAAATAATGAGAAGCATGAATGAGGGGGCAGGCTAACTGGCATAAAATATACCTCCTCATTTACAGCGCAGATCGAGAAGACTACTCAAGACAAAACAGTGTATATGTACTCAGATGCAGCCACTATACCAGATGTGTTTGCTTAATTGTCTTTCTTTGGCACAAAGAGGTAGATAGGAAATGTTTGGGATGGAGAGATAAAAGACAGCAACAAAACTTTTTAACCAGGTTGATTAAAAGTAAATTAATTTTTTTCAGCCACAAAAACTTAAGAGATATATTCTACTAATGCATGAAGAAGGGTGCTACCAGCAGAGTCAGAAGGAGTTCTCAACCTCATCAAAACACAGATCTTTGGAAGTACTGAACAAGAATGAAGAAAATGTAACCATTTGTAGGAATTAGTTTTTCTCAAAAATCTCATTCTCCCTCAAATCTCACATAGAATTTTTTTTTGTTTGCATCTCTCTCATGGATATACTGGGTAGTATTACAATATATAATTAATTTGTGTTTTAACCTTTTACTAGACTGTAAGCTCCATGAGGACAGGACTAAGATTTTTATTTATAAATTCTGCATCTCTACAGTGTTTAGCACAGTCTCTGCACACAGGAGACATTTGGATGAATGAATGAATGAATGGAAACACTGGATATCAGTGGGCATGCACTGGGAATCTGGGATTGCCAGAACTTATCAGATGTTAGCCATGATACAATTTAATGCTATAGTACTATTTACAAGGACCCAAGAGGAAACATAAAGTGCTATACATAATTAGGAGTGAATATACTGAAAAGATACAAAAATAAAAATATTAAAAGAGTGACAACTTGGTTATTTTCCACCTAAGGTGTCAAACACATTTCATCCAGTATAAAGTGTCAACAATAAGTTAGTTACCAGGACACAGAGAAGCTTCTAAAAGGTATTCTCTCAGGTGCTGACTTTTTTTCAGAGGGGGAAAGGGGAATGGGTTAAGCAGAACAGAAGGCTACTCCTTCCAGCTATGTCACTGCTACAGGGACCTTGTGCAAGGTCACAGAGCCAGTCTGAAGCAAGGGCAGGATTTGAACTCAAGTCCTCCAGACTCTAAAGCCTCTTTTCCACCTCAGAATGCTTACAAGGGACAGAAAGTATTCACTCCACAACAACGTTTTCCTGCACAAGATGACTGAAATATTTACCTTCATTAATTTTAATATATGCTGAATTTTGGAAACCATCACAATAACTGATTCTTTACCTGGTGGGCACTGGAACCTCAGTGAGGCCAGAAAGGAGGACGGCTGGGGACAGCCTCACAAATGCAATGATGGGCCTTTCCAAAAAATCCACTTCTCCCACCAAAACATTGGATGCTTCAGCTCCCGTGGGAATTTTCCTCATGAAATTCATGTCAACCTATCAGAAAACAGACAAATAATAATCAAACCCCAGTATCTTCATACCAACACTAGAGACAGTGGTAGGGAAGAGATGGGGAAAAAGAAATAAAAATACTCATTTATGAAAGGCTACTGAAAATGATTTGATGGAAGCATAAATCAAGAGCAAATTTTTCACAGATCTATAAAACTAAAAAGACAAAATATGATAATATAAACAAGATGCCTACTAAGCAACACTTTTAATGTTGTAATATGCTCTAGTTTTTATTACTTCTAAACCTAGATTATTCTGCATTTTCACTAGAGAAAATTTTCAATGAATATAATAACATTCATTCAAAACTCTAAGGACAAATATTTTTTCACAAACAACTAAGAGTTCATGAAATTATACGCAGTTCTAGAAGTCATTTATTTACCATGATTGAATAAAGAATTAGTTGCCACTCAAGTAAATTTAGTGTTCTTGCTTTTTAAAAGTTCAAAAGCTTATGCAGGCTCATCATGCAAGAAGAGCCACACCTTTCACTCTCATTACTATTATATTCTATAATCTAACGAAACACAGTTACTGTGTATAATTCCAAAGAACAGTTACAAAATGATAGGTACTAGGCGAACTTCTCCATGTCTCTAACTCACAGGAGCCACTACACAACCACTCACTAGCTACAAAAAACAAACCAAACACTTACAGCAGGCCTCTTGAGTCCCACACCCAGTGTGCCACAACTACAGTGCCAGGAGGCCGACTCCTGTCCAACAGGAGACGAGGAAGTGTACACAACAACAGGCCAAAGAAAAAAAATTAAAACTGGCAAATGAGCAAAGAAAATCAATGGTATCTGCCAAAGCTAGAGGACAACTACAGCATGAGTCAACCTGCAGTCCTTCCAGCTGTTTATTTAACAAGGGTAGCCTGCAGTCTGGTTAGTAACCACTTTTCCCTTAGAACTACTCACAGAACTAAATCCTAAATAACTAGACAGGAAAAGTCATATTGACGAAATTGAGGCAGTTACAAAGAGCCTCACAAGCGCTGCTGGGCCAGAGCTCCCTACCATCTCTGTGGAGCAAGAACAGCAACACAAAATCCTATTCAAGCTGTCTTTTTGTAGGAACATAGTTTGAGGGCGAACTTCATCGACAGAAAACTGTCAAAAGTCACATTCAAAGTTTAATATTATCTTTGAACTATATTATGTAATACTATAAAAGCTTATAGTAAAAATGCTATTTAAATAGCCAATCAGAATCAACTTTTCAAAAGTAATATATAAAGTGGGCTCCATTACTTTAGTATTTAGCAATAGCTTTTAACCCTGTTATGCAGGAATTTTACCCCAAGCCACATAATTAGTTCTGATTTGAAATGGGTATTTTGAGATCTATGCTTTTCTCTTCTCTACCAGTGGTAGAAGAGCTGATATGCTACCTGGTGTCTAGTACGGACCCCACAAGATTACAGCCAGATTCAAAAGGCTAATTCACCAGGGCTGTCCCATCATTCTAGCATTGATCTTTCTAGTGTTGACAGTGCTCAAACGTATCACTGATGTCCAAAAGGTACTAAAGAGGCATAGGATCAATGGACAGGTATCACTGGAAATACTGCAGGACTCATAAATCCTTTCACAATTTGAAAAGTGTTCCACGTTATTCAAACCCTCTCCTACAGCTACTTTAAATGTTAGCTAATCACCTTTTCTTCGATTTTCATGATAAGATAATCACATGCATCAATAAAGTTTAGAATGACCATTCTATTAAAAATGATTTCTCAAATTATCATCAAGGGAACACGACTGTTACAACCCTAGATTGGAGCATAAGTGTGAGACTGTGGACAATTACCTTCAATGACAGAATTACCTTGCTGAAGTCAACAGTACTATTCTCTCTGCTTCCTCCAGTTCCATTACCTTTAGCTTCTCCACTTTTGCTACTGTCCAAGTTTCCAGGTGCTGACTGTGGAGATGCCAAAACGCCTATATTTTAAAAATGCACAAATCCAAAATAAATATATAAAAAAATAGATTGTATAATCTAATTTTGCTCTTAACTCTGACAGTGATGGTCTGCCAAAAGCAAATGTGCAAGTGAGCCAATGTGCAGCATATTAGTACTTTACATAAAAGCAAATCAGTAGCTTGCCTCCCAAATATAAATGGTGCCATTAGAAGTTGCCTCAACGATAGCCCCTCCCTCCAAAAAAGGAAGAATTACTTAGTGAAGAAAGAAGGAAGAAGACTAGAATAACACATTCAAATTGACTCCAAACACAAATATTTTGCAAGTGAGCCCTCAACAATTTTACATATATATATACATGAATTTTATGGGCCATGATGACACAAAGTATAGAAACCAACCTGTACTTCATATGCTCAAACCAGGAGAAATTAAAACAACTTTCCCTGGCAACAAACTCTGTCAAAAAAAGTTAGATGCTAACCAAAAACAGACTTACTGCCTTAGCCGCTCACGGTCATCCCAACAAGCACTCGAGAGGATCACGGAACTAGAACCAGAATAAAGCTCAGCAGTCACCTAAGCCAGCCCACTCACTGTACCAATGAGGAAATGGAAGCCCAGAACGGCAAAGAGACTGACTACTACAACACACACAGCAGCAAAGAGGAATTTTCCTTGACACCAGCCCATTAATGAACAGGCTATAAAAACGTAAGGAAATCTCTGAAAAAGTAGCTCCTGGTAGACTAAGAAGCCAAAACACTAACATGTAGAAGAAATATAAAAGCACTTGACTATATCCATGGCCCTGTTTCATGGCACAAATGAGAACATTTTAATGTTCTTAAACATTTCTTGGCATGGTACTGTCATGGCACAAATTCAAACTAGAAGCTTTTTATGATAATAAACCCTCAATGAAAACAAACTAGTGATTTATCCATACTAGCCAACACTCAATGGAAAAAAACAGGCAACTCTAAAACAATAAGTATTTCTCAAAACCTTCAGTCGCCCTATCACAATGTTTTTGAGATGAAGCAGCTTAGCTCATGAGGCACTTAGTCCTCAGAATTTCTTTCCTTTGAACTTTGTAGTCTAAAATAAATACATATTAAGGACATCAGGTAAGTTACTTTTAATAAAGAATCTATTTTGTTCAGCCCTCTTGTCAAAAAAATGGCTCTTAAGAATATTCTGCATTAGGTTTACAAGTACGGTGGGCTAATTTTAAGACCTCGACCACAAAGTGAAGCAAGTCGCTGATATCATGGGTAAAATAAAGCAAGAACAATGAGTATGTTAACCTCAACCACTAAGACACAGAACTGTTTGGGAGAGAAGAGAACCCAGGATGCTATATTGTCTCCCCTTCCACTCTTTGTCCTTATCTTCCTGTTCAATTGTTTTCCAAGGCACAAAAGCTCTTTTCTTTTCCTAAGGCTATATCACGGAAGTAGACAGATTTAAGACATTTTCCTCTCACTATAACCTTAATTCAAATATGGTTTAGTGAAAAGAGCAGTTTTCGGTAGGAATCTTGGCTCTGCTACTTTCTACAGGAGTGAATTTGGGCAAGTCATTTGAAATCTCTGGGCCTTAGTTTCTAGCTCATCTATGAGGGCATTAGACTACATGATCTAGGTTACCATCAAGCTCCAAAACTATGGTCTTATGGATATACAATTCATGCAAAAATATTATGATAGTGAATGCTAGTAATATTCTATGAATTTAGTCAAACAAGTCAAATAATTTTCCCTATTTTTTCTTTCAGGATCACACTAAACTATAAAATCTTTCAGAGCAGGGACCTAGCACACACGTAGATATGTAATAAGTTATTTGTTGAATGACCTGCGTTTGTGCATCTCTCAACATTTAGCATAATGTTTTGTGGAATAAGAACTTCACAAATGTTTGTTGAATTAACTATAACCCAGAAGTCTTTGATGTGACTCTTACAGTCAATGTGAAAGACAGCCTTGAGGTAACTTCTCTATAGGCATAATGTTAAAATTTCACAGTTAACATTAGGTTTTCAAAGAACTGTATAGACCAAAGCAATACACACATCTTATTTTTAAAAGGCAGACTACCCATAGTTGTCCCCATATTTCCTTTCCAAAGCTACACAACTTCACAGACAAGGCGTTTCTGAAAGAGAAATTAAACAAGGATCTTCCCAAAGCCAAAAGCATTTTCTTTCATCTTTGTAAGCAGCCTTTCTGGCTACCACTGCAAAGTGGATTCTACTCTCAGAAAAGCAGTTTTAATGAGATTAATATTGGTAAATATCAAAACGGCACTCTTCTACAGTATGCATAAGAAACAGCTGTCATTTTTTCCCCGGGGGGGGGGGGAAGAAGGTATTCCCATTAAAGCATCTTACTTTTACTTGACATACAAAATATAACTACATAAGGTGTACTGGGCTTCCTATGTGAAGTCTTTTCTTGGTATAATTTCCACAGAAAATGATATAGCAAGAGCTTTTCACCGTAGCTGACAAATGGGATGCACCCAGAAAAGTCAGGCATTAAGAATTCAAGGGAAAACATTAGTGAACCTCAATGAAATACACTATCATTATTAAAAAAAAAAAAAGTAAAAATGAGATGGTAGTCTTTGACCATCATTTGTTGATTATCAGTAGCTGTAAGTAATTATATAAAGGATTCTTCCTTACCTAAATACCATTATCATTAACATGACTATATTCTTTTCTAACAAATCAAAATTAAATTTGCTACTTAGGAAGTTTCCTAGATTCTGCTATGATAAACCCATTAAAATGGAGAATAAACATCATCTTGATGTTATCACATTTCTCTCTATATTTGTAACTGTTAATTTATACCAAGAGGCAACAAGGCAGGGTAGGTAAAGAGCCAGCCTTGAAGGTCAGAAGCTTAGAGTTCAAGGACTCCTGTCTCTGACATACACTGGCCACAGGGCCCTGTCTCAGACTAGATGATACTGTTCTATGTTAGCAAAAGGAGGGTTTCTCTAGGAATGAAGTCCCAGGACTTAATTTATATGATTATATAACTAGTAAGTCTTAGTGATGTCATAAAAGATAAACTGAAAAATGAGGAAAAACATACACTTTCAGAAAAGCACACATTTTTTCTCTATTTTTAATTCTACAGAAGAAATGTATATGTAAATAATTTTCCAGAGTAATTCTAACTCACCATAATCTAAACACTGGGTCCCATGCCAAAGACCAAGAAATATGTTCCATTGAAATTTCTAATTTATATGCATAGCCATAATTTTGGCAAGAACGAAACAAGCTTTAGTCACTCAAATTTTAATATAAATTTGTCTTAGAGAAAACAATCAGGCTCAAATGCAGAATTCCTAGTCTGTATTCTAGGCTCTAACACTTTCCTGTCATAAATGTTGATCAGGCACAATCATAAACGTCACAGACTCCTTGAATAAAAACTGGGGAAAGTCACTCAATCTGGGCTTCCCAGAGAAGACAAAATGATGACTATAAATTATGGATAAAATGTTCTCATTAAGTAGACTGGATTATGAATTAATCTGCAAAATATTAATCCTCAAAAACTTTTTACATCACAATAACATATTCACCTTAAGAAAAATTGTTTCTAACAAGTCCTTTTAAATCATTTAAGTGCTCTACTAGTTAAAAAAGCTCCATTGCCCATTCAAAAGGTGACCTTAAATGTGTGGGCTAATTTTTATTTTAAAAACTAAAAAGTTTTTTAATAACACACTACAATTACTGCAGAAGAAAAAACATGCACCAGTCAAAATAAATGGTAAGCACTACTCATATACTGCTCAAGCTATGTGCCAAAAAAAGCATTCCAATGCGAGTGAGGCAGATCCAGAAAGCACCACACAGAGCTGGGGATAATTGCCTGGGCTTAGGTCAATATTTTCCTCCTTCTTCTGCTCCTGGCACTGCAGTGCTTCTAATTCTTCCTCAGGTGGATGAATTACTACTGTGGGGATATCATCACTGGCAGATGAAATCAGAAGTTCTGGGACCTGAAGCTGACTCTGCTGAGAACTTCTGGAATCCAGTCGACTGATTTTAGGACTGGAGGGTGGACTGTTTTGAGGGGTGGGTACTGGGGTTGTACACCTTGAGGCTGCCGGAGTCCCAGCTCTTGAAGAAGGAAGAAGATGACTGAGAAGGGACAAAGGTGATTCTCCTCTCAGTGAAAGATTTGAAGCAGATAGACCTGTTCGTAAAGAGTGGCGGGAGGCTGAAAGGCCTTCCCCTGAGATAAAAAAAAAAAATGAACAATTATGAAGTTCACAGCAGGAATGCAAAAAGAGGCACAAAAATGTATCATTTCTGACATAAATCACAAGCTTTCAAGAGTCAAAAATTTAATTTCATGCAGGTGTGGAGTAAGCATGGCAATCAAGCTTCGTAAGTATTAGAAAACTGGTACAGACTCTACTGATCAGTTAGTTCACTGAAGAAACCATAAGAAAAAAGAATGTTAATGAGGAAAGATGAAAAAAAAACAGTCAGCATTTAATATAAAATGAAAGGACAATTACACCCCTTGATTCTCTGGCTTTTTGAAAAGCAACAAACCAGAATCAAATTGTCATTTAAATAAGACAGGACATCTAACTCATAGCGTCTTGAGCTTATTACCATGCAGAGAGGGTCTAAACCAACAATGCCAAGCACCAACTTACCAGCATGTCAGAGACTCACTGTACCTTTGTTCCTACACTGAGGAGATCTAGCACTTCTCCCATAGTCTCTATCACTGCTTCCTTATAAGAGTGTCTAACTAAAATATGACATTAGTATACTCTGCCTAATGCAGATGTTCTCCAAGCAAAACTACTGAACATCATTTAAAAGTACTCAACTACAGAAAACTGTATCAAGGTCATTGAGAGGCCTTAAAATATTCAAAAACATTTAACAATAAAGATGATGAAGCTGGGCTCTATTAACAAAGAGAAGGAAAAAAACTACATAGCATTAACTGAAAACTCATGTCTGCCTCCTCTCCAAGAAAACAACTAGATGCTTATGATTAAAAGGAAGCCATTTTATAATATTTCGAAGGTTAATGTGTGCTCAGATGTCAAACAGAGGAAAATCTCATACTTTCAGTTACAAATGGTAGAAAAAATCCAATGGTTCATGCCGCAGGGCTTCAGAGCTGCATCCCATGAGCACCCACAATCCCAGAGACATTCATGATCCCCGTTTTAGGCCCTTTAGTCCAGTGAATTCATTTTCTTGGTGAGGAGACCCAGGCCAAGAAAAGCACCTTTCCTAAAGCCATAGGAGCAGTGAGCAGCTGAGGAGCCTCTGAAGCCCATGCCCCAGAATTCTTTCTGCCATGTCTTGTGGTAATTCCTTTACAGTATCCTAGTACCCTCCATTAAATTCCATTTATCACAAAGATAATAAGTACAAACTTATTTACACTTATGAAAGTGTAAACTTAAATTTATTTTACACTTAAAAAAAGACCATGAAAATTATTAAAATAGGTACAATAAGTATTTTTAGAGTACTTTATGATTAACAATGAACTCTGCATATGTTGCCCTCAATCGATTCTCACAAAAACTCTGTTAGGCAGGCAGTGTCAACACAATACGTGGCACACAGTAGGCATTTAATAAATGCTTGTTTCCCTCCATCCCCGCCCCCTTTTGCAGATGAGGACACTGAGGGTCAGGAAGACTGAGTAACTCTCCTTCCTCTCAAGATCAGACAATTGCCAAGTGGCACAGACAGGATGTAAACCCAAGCCTCTCAACTCCAAGTTCAATGTTCTTTCTACAATCCCACAGCTGCCCCAACAAAAAAAGTCAATCAGAACTACAAAGCATCAATAATGGAATTATAGTGAACCACTCACATGCAAATTAGCATTTTTTAAAGTACGTGTTCTATAAATAACAAATAGAATGTGTCCTAGAATAATCTGAAACCCTATCTTTTTTTAACAATGAACACAAATTTTTAAAGGATTCCTATATTCAACTAACTCGTCAATTATTGTTTTCAGCACTCCTAAGCAATATTTTTACTTTCCTATCATTTTTAGATTTCCAAGAGATATTTGCTAATAAATTGAAACAGGTTTTAATGGCCCATAAAGGTTTTAGGTACCTATTTACAGCTGGTTCTGATGGATGGACTAATTACTAAATGCAATAAATGACTGGCATGAATGCTTTCTAGAAATTAATTTAAAAGGAAAGAAAAAAATAGTTTTTGAAAATCTAACTGTATTTGTCCATTTTAGGTGCATTTAACCAGTTAGGAGAGAGACCTTACTTGGGGCCACTTAAAGAAGATCTGGCGGCAGCTAGGTGGCACAGTGGATAGACTACTGGCCCTGGAGTCAGGAGGACCTGAGTTCAAATCCGGATTCAGACACAACACTCACTAGCTGTGAGACTCTGGGCAAGTCACTTAACCCCACCTGCCTCACCAAAAATAAAGAAGAAGAAGAAGAAGATCTGAAGATGTTATCATTCTTTCAGCATTCTACAAGACCAAATGGTTAAAAGAGGGCCAATTATCAACCTTGTCCTTCACTCTCTGCAAAAGAATAAAGGAAATGACCATGCTTACCAGCTTTCTCAGCCCTACAACCTCACCAGCACTGAGAAGACCTAAAACCACTGCCATAGGTGCTCAATGCCAATGGCTTTCCCTGCTCCAACCTTTGGAGACAGAGGGAAGTGATTACTGGGGAAGAATCCATGTTGAGCAATCACCAGGAGGAAGATTCACAGAAGTTAAAGAAATGGAAGAACCCTTGGAGAACATCCACCCAAATCCCACCCTGGATTTCAGGTATCACTAGCCTTCCTCTTTCAGGCAGGGTCCTCATCTTATACTTCTTTTAAAAGGAAAGGAAAAAAATAAACAGTTTTTGAAAATCTAACTAATTTCAACCAGCTAGCATAGTTCAGTAATCAGTAATAGCAAAAGTCATTAAATTGACACTTTTTTCTACATCTCAATATTTTTAATAAGTAATTTAAAGCTACAATATGAATGAAGAATTGCCATTAGCTATTTATGTCACTTCAGAGCCATGATGGTGGGAACTGCAGCCTTTTCACCTTTGTAGTGATCAAAATTCCCAACAAAGTAGAACTGAAACATCTGAATTATTTTTAAGTTTCAGTCAACAGTAGACTGCTGAAATGAAAACTAAATTCAAAACATCAATTCTTCCACACTACTGAGGATGAACATTAAGTTTTAGACAATATACCAGAAATATAAAGGTTAATCTTAATTATTCACTCATAACTGATCTAAGTCAGTCTCAAAAAATAGGAATGTGCTTTCTACAAAAATTTTTAAAGCGGTCTGCAAGTTTTGTTGCCTCCATTTCTAAAGTCCCAATTCCTCTTGATATTCTGCCTCTTAAAAAAACTGTACATCAACAGTATTTTGTAGTCATTTGAAAAATCTGATTCAACAAAGATTCTGAATTAAAACAAGACTCACCCTTCCTAATCTGGCTCCAATCTACTTGTTTCAACAGAGCTCCTAGATGACATTCTATCATGGGCCTCCAAACCTTAACTCAGGTTTATCCTCAGCTCTTTAAAGAAGCCCTTCTTTATTTTCCTAAATAGCAGAACTCTTCCTGGCACTACCCTACCCCCCACCAAATTACTTTACATGTATCTTGTACATATGTTATATCTAGTTGTATTTATGTGTTGTTCCTTAAGCTCCTTAGGGGCAGGTACTGTTTTATTTGTCTTTTAATTTCTCACCGTCTAACACATAACCTGGCTCACAGAAGATAATTTCTATATGTTCACTTAACTGGAGAATAATTACTTCCCATCTCAAAATTCTGATTCTGGAGTTGAAAGTGACAACAATGCTGGATCCCCAGTGTGACACCCCAACAATCTCACTGCTTAGATGCCCCACTGCTTAGGGACAGCAAACACAGTCACACGGCCCTCAGGGAGGGGAACAGCGCCCAGCCCAGACTCCTTAGGTACTCCAAAAAGCTAAGTGCCTCCAGACAGGCTGGTTGCTGCACTTCCTGTTTGAGAATGTGATCAGCTGTGTTTTACAACACAAGAGACACATTAAGAAGAAAAAACAGCAAAATAACTTAATAGAAAAAAGGGAGGGAGTTGTAGAACCCTCAAATAATTATATACTGATGATTTCTTCTTTACAAAAATTTCACTCTTTAATATGCTGGGATGCTGTTAGAATAAACATGTTAGTAAAAACTGGATGCTATAACTTATCTCACCATTCCGTTCAAGCAAGTGAGGATCAGAATGTTTCTTGCCTATATCTGCAAAAGACCGCACAAGGGGAATCCGGCTCGTGAACCTTTTCTCATTTTGATGATGATGTCTCTTCAAAAGAGCCTCCCTGACATTCTCTCTTATCGAATCATCCAACTGGCCAGAGGCAATCATGTTGTCCAGCACCATATCTATTGCATGAAAAGAAAGGGCAACAGGAATTATTTCTGAACAAATAAATAAGAGCAGCGACTGTTAATAAAAATAATACACAACTCTTCAAGCATTAATATCATAGATCTAGAGCTGGAAAGCCTCTCATTGCACAGATGAGGAAAATGAGGCCAAGGGAAGCTAAGTGACTTGCCCAAAGTCACACAGCTAGTAAATGCCAGAGGCGGAATTAGAACCCAGGGCCTCTGCCTCCAGAGTCAGTAATCTCTCTTGGCCCCACACCTAAGCTCCAATAAAGTCACCATGAAAATCTAGCATCATCTCACAAAGATCCCTTAAGTTAGAGTCAGAATTGCATTTCCATGAATTACATGATAAATTCCATTTATATATAAAGCCATTATTTACCCTGTCCAAAAACACATACTAATAGTTGGTTGTTTTTTTCCTGGAATAGTTCCAAGTTTGTTAACCAAAGGAATTAATATTTTGGTCTTCCTAAGATACAAGAATATTTCATTGTTTCACATAACTTTTAGAATCCCACCCTATCAAAAGACTGCAAAGTGAGAAAATTAAGATAAACATATTTCTCCTGATCTTATTAAAATAAGTCTACAACCCCAAAACAATAAACTTAAGTTTTTCTGAAGTCATATGCAAATAAACTATGGTTGACAAGATTCAACATAAGTAAAAAGATAATAAACAGGTTGTGGTTTGAGGTTTTATTTCTTTATAAATGTTTTCTAAAGCTCCAGTTTCAAATGCGGTTTTCATATTATTAATCTGAGGGGAAATTTTATTATCATCATCATCGATTATCAACAATAATTAAATAACACTTTAAGATTTGCAAAGCACTTTACAAATACAATCCCACTTGATCAACACAACAGCCCTGGGATGTGTTCTTAACATCCACATGTACAGATGCAGAAAATGATGCAGACAGAAGTTAAATGATTCGCCCAGTATTACCCAGTTACTAAGTATCTGAATCTGGATTTGAATAGGGCCAGCTTCCTGATTCCAGGCTCAGTTTGCCATCTAGCTACCTCTGTCATACAACATATTTCACATACTATTATGTAAATTAAATGTGTTTTTGAAAATTCAAAAAATTAAATGAGAATTTGAACCCAGTAACGAAAAGGGGAACAGAATGTTTGATTTGGGGTTTTTCCATATTAAATTTTGTATATTAAACTCTTGGAATTTAATCTCATGTTTTCTAAAGTTAGTCAAACAAATATACATATACATTATTCAATAAAAAATTATTAATTACATATTGTGTGCAAATAATCATACTAGAAGCTGAAGAAGATGCAAAGTTTAGATAAATCAGTTCCTACCCTCAAAGAGGTTATAGTCTAGGAGGAGAAAAAGCCACCAATAAAAAAGTAACTTCAGTACTGTTACAGAAATGCCTTGTTGCTCTGAAGGGAAAGGTCCTACTCTAACCTAACATACCAATCAAAAGGATCAGGTAAAAGCTTCCTTGAAGAAATGGCATATAAGGCCTGGTCTGTCAAATAAGTGCAGGCATCAAAACAGGCAAAGATCCCTAGGCATTCTGGGACTAGGAAACAGCTCTCACAGCAGCACAGAGACAGAGTACAGAGCATGTTCTTGATGCAACTAACCTGGTGGTCTGGGGCACAGAAAAAATAAATGTAAGGGAGTTATTAGGAAAGAAAGCTGAAAACCAAAAGTGGCCAAAGTTTGTGGTAGACATTATGTGCCACACAAAAGGAGTCTAGAAGAGGCAGTAGAAGGCACTTACCACCTTTAAGCAGAAGAAAAGCAAAACCAGAGCATGCTTAAAACAAAATGTTAGGAAGGATGGACTGCAGAAGGGAGAATGTATAGGTGGAAATTCTAAGAACAATTAATCTAGGAGTGATACTGGAAGCCTATGCCAAAGTTGTGTTGCTGGAACTAGGAAGAGACATAGTTAGGCACTTATTTACTTTGGGTAAAATGAACTATATCTAAAATGTATATGCCTCCTTTCAAGAACTTCTGATTCTATTACTCAAAAGGTCTCAGTGATTTTCAAAAGATCCAGTATCTTTTTATAGAAACCATTATCTTCTCCAGATAAGATGAAGATGTTAATCTTATAGCTCACTGCAAAAAGCGATGACTATCTTGGCTAAATAATAACGTAATAGGATGCTACTTCCATTTCTGAAGAGTAAAGAAAAAATGAACATAATAATGTTTATGTTTTTTATACTATTGTCGTTAATTAGTTTGATATGTATTGTCAGAAGGGCCGTTTCATACATTTGGGGCCATTACATTCTCACTATCGGTAGTTTAGACTATTAGCTACTAGAGAGGAAAAAAGGACTCTCTTTTCTTTGTATGCACACTTGAAAATGAGTATTCCACTGAAGCTGCCTAAAACAGGGTCATGTGACCCTGGAGTACTATAACAATGATGATGATGATAACAGTAATATAACAGCTACCATTTATGTATCACTTTAAGGTTTGCAAAGCACCTAATAGTAAGTATTATCTCATTTTATCTTCACACCTCTAGGACACAGGTACTGTTATTATCCCCATTTTATAGGAGGAAAGTAAGGCAGTTTGAGGTCAAATGAATTGCCCAGGGTCACACAACTAGTAAAAATACTGTATATTTTTCATGAATTAAATCATGTACACACAACATTTCTTGATGGGATAATAGCAAAAATGAAATGGAGCTTCAGTCTCCAGATTTCCCATTCAATAGCCTAACTCATACTGGTTACATCCCAGGCCACAGGCAAAGCATACATATGTGACAATAAAACCCTGATTTTTTTTCAAGCTACCTGATATAAAGACAGTTGGGAATTCAAAGCAATTAGTATTTTTAAAGTAAGTGGTCAAGTCTATCAATCTGTTGCCATAAATAGCAGTGAATAATTAATTTTTACCCCAAAGATTCTAACACATTTCCGGCCCTCTAAGATTCAACACTAATTTGAATAATATCAATGGATCTTCTGGCCACAAAGGAAAACTCTGCAAAGGCTACATTTCTATCAGATCCATTATGATAACCAATTACGAGAATTTTCATTTGGCTTTATTTGTTAATAGCTACAAATCTCCTTGCCATAAAATGAAAACAGAATTTACAAATATACACACATACGCTATAAAATTTACTTTCACATAATATAAATGATACAAGTTGGGGCAGCTAGGTGGCGCAGTGGATAGAGCACCGGCCCTGAATTCAGGAGGACCTGAGTTCAAATTCGGCCTCAGACCAAACACTTGACACTTACTAGCTGTGTGACCCAATTGCCTAAAAACAAAAAAAAAGATTTTTTTTAAGTAAATAAATGAATGAATGAATGAATGAATAAGCAAACAAATAAATGACACAAGAGCTTCCAACATAATTCACCCTGAACAACTATACATGCTCTACAACCTGCTATTTCATCCAGAGTGCTTGCTCTCATATCCAGCATAACCGTTCCATTCAGGATGCAGCTCCTCAGCTCAAACAGACTGTGCAAAGACAAGGTCGCCACATAAGGCTTGCTCCATCGATCCCCACCATCTTCAACATCCTCTTCAAATTTTAGCCACCTGAAAAGCATCATGTACACTATGATCCTGAGCACTGTCTTTTACAAAGAAAGATGACAAATACCAAAGCAAGCCTATGCTTTTCCACTTAGAAATAATAAACTAAAGCAGGCTTCACATCCATCCATTATTTCTCCATGCCAGCAAAATGTCTATCATACAAATAGGGTCTACATCAACATTCAAGCATGCAGACCAATATATGTTCAAAATAAAGAAGTGAGCCCACAAAATGATCATGGTAGCTCATATTTATATAGTATTTTTAAGATCTGCAAAGTACTTTACATATATTAGCTCAGTAATTAGTATGCTTTACTTTCTCAGATCCATTTTGCTCAACTATAAAATTTCAGGAATGCAACGACGAATTCTATAAACCTTGCCATGTTCTATTGGTGTATGGTAACACAGAGGCATAAAGACAAAGATCAGATGGAATCTACAGTTAAAAAAATTATCAGAGATAAGAGTTAGCGCCCTGCTTAGGAGCCAACAGGAGAATGACAAGAGGACTACTCAAGTAGCATTACCTAGCAGTTTCCTTCCACTCGTATTCTTCACCATCCCTATAACAAAGTTCATCCATTTCAGTGAAGAGGTCGTGGGGAATGTGCTCTTCATCATCATCTTCAGTACCAAGAATAAACTGGACACGCTGGGATGGTGTGTCTGAACAGAAGACAATTTGAAAACAGTAAAGAAAAATTTTCTCCAAATTGTTGAAAGATACATTACTTCAAAATTTCTTAGCTTTTTTAATATATTCCATTTTTAATTTATTTTAAATTACTGTACATTTTAAAGCAAATGTTACAGAAGAATCCTAGAGAGAAAAAAATAACATTAAATAAAAAAAATCATAAGGCATATTCCTATTTTTAAAAAGAGAACCTTTAAGGGTTTTTTTTCTTTAGTAAGTCAAAGGCAGCTTAAAGGCTACTACCTGTAAAAGAAATGAGAGGGTCTGAAGAGGCTGGCTGGCTCAGTTTTATCTCTTGATCTCTGCCCACAAAGGGGGCCTGACTTAGAGACACACCACAGATAGTTCCTGTGACCCTGCTGTTTGTTCTGAACCCTCCACCCAGTAGTCACGCACTACCACTATGAAGAAGTTAAAAGTAAAGGTACTAAAAGTCAAGGTAAGTCAAAGAAAATGGCTTCTCCCCCAAAGGAGACAGAAGACAGTGAGGATAAGACCATGTCAGTTAGAGACAAGGTTGTGGTTCTTCAGAAGACAAGCAAGAAGGCTGCGGCTACACCAGCAAAGAAGGTTCCACCAGCCAAAAAAGCTACTGTTGCTACTACACTTGCCAAGAAAGCAGTCGTGACTCTCAGCAAGAAAGCCAGTCTGCCCTGCAAAGAGAGGTTTCCCCAGCCAAAGCTGTCATCACGCCAAACAAGAAGAGGGCCACTCCTGCCTCCTTTGCTTTAACAATTAGCACCCTCAGGAATAAATGGGTAAAATGCCAAGAACAGGCCAAGGAATCTAACAATGGCAATGGAGATAAGTACGATGAGGCACCTGAGTCACCCAAAGGGTCCAAAAATGGAAGCAAATATGGGCAAATAAGATTGTGAGGAGAGTGAGAAGGAGGAAGAGAATGAAGATACCTCTAAAGAGAAAGCCATTGATAACAACTTGCCAAAGGAAAGACTGCTCCTGCAAAACTAAGCTATCCAAGTACCACAATGAGAAGGAATAAGAGGTAGCGCCTGTCAAAGAAACACTTGGAAAGAGAAAAAGACAACGGGCCAACAGAAAGCCAACAAAGCCAAGAGAAAGAAATTGGAAGTGATAAACTTGAACTTCAAAAACACTGCTTCTGAACTAAAAACTGGTATCACAGACTTTTCAAAAGTAATCTTGCAATTATGGAGCTACTACTAGGAAGCTGAGTTATACGGAATTTGAATCTGCTAAATACATGAGAAGAACTCTGGAACTCAAGGGCTCAGATGTCCCTGACTCTGAAATGAAACTGGAAAGAGCAAAGGAAAACAAGTCAAATACAGTTGTACAGACATTCTTCATGAAGAACCTGCCTTATCCAGTGACTCAGGAGGAATGTGAGGGTTTGAAGACGCCACTGAGGGTAGATTAGTCTGCATCCAGGATGGGATCCCTAGAGGAACTGCCTAAATTGAATTTAAAGCAGGATGAAGTGGAGAACGTCTTACAAGAGAGAGAGAGAGAGAGAGAGAGAGAGAGACAGAGACAGAGACAGAGACAGACACGGTCAGGCTCTTTTTCTGAATCACAAAAGAAGGAAGAAAGTTATGGGCAAGAGAATTCTAAAGGTGAAAAAAATAATTCCTAAAGTAAGAGTGACAAGTCAGCAAACTCAAAGACTCAAAGATCCTTGTACTGAAAAACCTAGCATAGGATGCCTACAGTCTGAGAAGATAAGCCTCTCCGAGTACCCCAGACAACTACAGAAGACCTGAAGGGTTTGCATGCCTCAGACGCTCCTCCACTCAAGACATAAAAGCAGCTCTGGATTTTAAAACATGGAAACAGATGATACAGCAACTGGGATGAGGCTAGAGGGACACAGATCAACTAATTATAGCCATTCACAGAAAACTTTGTCAAAGACCTGTGCAAAGATACCACAGAACAAACACTGAAACGTTATTTTATAGTCTACTGGAACAAGGAACAGAGAAGCAAAGTCACCTAAAGGGCTTGGCTATGGAAGAAGATGCTAAAGCTGGCAAAGAAGCCATGGCAGATGGGGAGACTGGTGGAAAATCAGACAGGTGCTTTGAGGGACAGATGGGGAGACTGGTGGAAAATCAGACAGGTGCTTTGGAGGCCAGATGGGGAGACTGGTGGAAAATCAGACAGGTGCTTTGAAGGCCAGATGGGGAGACTGGTGGTAAAGCAGACAGGTGCTTTGGAGGCCAGATGGGGAGACTGGTAGAAAATCAGACAGGTGTTTTGAGGGACAGATGGGGAGACTGGTGGAAAATCAGACAGGTACTCTGGAGGCCACGGTGGTAGTAGTCAAGGAGGATTTGATGACAAAGGAAGCAGCCAAGAAGGGAGGAAAAGAGGCCTCCGGAGCTTTGGTGGCCAAGGCTAAGGAAACTCTGAACACTGGAGTAGTCTTCTGAGGAGGTTTCCAAGGGGGCAGAGAAGAAAGAGACCACAAGTCAAAGTGAAGGAAAATGAAGTCTGAATAGCTTCTCCATCCAATTTCTTTTCCCCAGATATTACAACGGATTCTGGAGGTTTTATCTAATTGTTTACAGAGTCTTCTCATGTCATTCCAAGACAAACATAGTTCATAGGTCATTCTTGGAAAAACCTGGATGACATTTCAAGGGAGAAAAAGCACACTGATTTTAACTGGATGGAAGCTGCATACAAACTTTTTAAGAAATAGGTGAAAATGTGATAACCTTTTTTTCTATAAGTTGTTTTGAATTTGTTATACGTCATATACAAAACCATTTTTCCTACAAATGTGTTTTTTTCCCCAATTTTCTCCCATCTTTTTTTTGGCTATAAAGGAAAAAATCAAATGCTTTTTCATGATTTTTGCTTGAATAGCCTGTCTTACAACACATTAGAAGGGCCTAACCTCATGAAAAAAATATTTTTAAACGATGGAACATTATTAATATTTTCTGTTTCTAACTTTACTGCTCCTAATGTTCTTCCTTAGGAAAAAAATTAAGGAATGACAAATCTCTTTACTTGGGTTATTTAATCATAACAACAAAAACATACAGAATACATTAAAAACCTTTGATCTAAAAATGGTATTCACAGACTGTTTCCAGCGTTCACTTAAAATATATCTAGGGCACCTGTGCATAATAGTTGATTTTTTTTTTCAACTACTGGCTTTAAGAAAGAACACAAAGACCAACAAAAAGATAATATAATTGTCATACGATAATTATATTCTGTCTCTTAACAATATCAAATAAAATAGCTGTGTGACCCTGGGCAAGTCACTTAACCCCAGCTGCCTTGCCAAAAAAAAAAAACAAAAAAATATGTCAAATAAAAACATCAAGCAACATTAAGAATTGTACCAGCCTCTGTCTAATATTTCTACTCAAATTTATTCCAGGAAACCCTTCCTCCTCCCACTTGTCCCTAATAAATTCATCCAGTCTATATCCCAATAACCAAGGCACAAATTCCTTCATTCTCCTGTTCCAGCCCCTACCTCCACCTCTATCGATCTATCTAAAACTAATCCTCCTCAAGTGTATTCCCACCCTTCTTACCATAAGAAGGAGACTCACGGCCATCTTCTTTATCGGATTCTTTGTCTTTTCTCCTTCGATGATGATGCTTGTGCCCACGATGTCTATGACGTCGGCGACTTTCTTTACTAAATGGGACATGTACACCAATATATACAGCTCGATGGCCTGTTTTCAAAAAGCACCAAAAACACATTAAAGGTTTCATAACAGTAAATACATACAGTGCTATAACAGAATTTGTTCCAGATGCAAACTATTCAGTTGCCACAAAACATAAACCAAAGTGCAAAAATGCCTGCTTCATTTACTCCTTTTTTCTCTGTGGTTCAAATACAATGATATTCTTAATGAAAACAAGTTCACTAAAAAAAGAAAGCAAAGGGCTGCAAGCATTAATTTGCAAGCTTCATAAAAAGAAAGAAGACAGAGCAGCTGGCTCACTCAGTCTGCCCCGTTTTCTCTGCCATGGAGAAAAATCTTGAGAACCATCCAAACTCATGGATCGAGTGCCTACTATGTGTCAGACGTGCTGGCAAGCCCTGAAGATACGAGGACAAAAGTGAAAGTCGCTGCAAGAGTGAAGACAGCGCGCCCGTACTGAAGTACAAAGGAGACATACAAAATAAGGACAAGGCGGCGTGGTTTGGGCAGACACTAGCAGCCTAGGTAATCAGCATGTGGAAGGTGACATTTGAGTTAAGTAATGAAGGAAAGGAGGGATTCCAAGAGAGGGACCTCCAGGACAAAGTTGTACAGATGGAAGAAGAAACAGCACTCATGAGGCCAGCAAGAAGGCCAGTTCGGCTAGATGCAAAGGGTGGAAAAAAGGGAGTAATGTGTAACAGGGCTGACGAGGAAGCCTGGTCCAGGTTATGAAGGGCTTTAAGAGTAAAACACACAAAAAGTTTGTATTTGAACCTCAAGGCAATGGGGAGTAACTGAAGTTTATTGGTAGCACCTGTGCTTTTGGACGATTCTATGGAAGACGGATTGAGTCAGTCAGACAAATTAGGACGCTAATTTGAAATGACAGATTAGAGATGATAAAGGCCTGAACTAGAATGGTTATAATGTGAATAGAGAGAAGGGGACAGATACAAGAGTAGCTGTGGAAGCAGATGTGACAAATCTTAGCATCTGACTGAATTGCTGAGGAAGCAGGAGGAATCCAGGATAATGTCAAGGCTGTGAACCTGGATGCCTTGGAAGGATGCTGGTGTCCTTCTTCAGAAAGAGAAAAATCTGGAGTTTGGTTTGGGACATGTTTATTTTGAGATGCCCATCCAGATATATAGATATGGAAGCTATCTACACAGAAAGAAGTAAACCCATAGGAATCAAAGAGTTCACCAAGCAAGAAAACAGGGAGAGAAGAAAAAAAGGGCCCAGGAAAGAGCCTTGCAGTAGTCCCACAGTTAGGGGTATTATGTGAAGAACCGGGAAAAGAGAGTGACAAAGAGCAATCACGCAGGTAGGAGGACCAAGAAGCAAGGCATGAAAATCCAAAAAGAAGAGAATATCCAGGAAAACACCTACTAAGTTCCAGGGACTGTGCCAGATGCTGAGGATTCAACTACAAAAAAGGGAACAATCCCTGTGGCTCAGATGTCTTCCCCTACACAGCTCTCTTTATTCCTATCTCTGACGAAGTCTTCTGACCAACGCAAACCCTTCATCATACGTATACCTTTGATGCTGTCTCCTCCCATATTCTTCAATCCTTCCCTATTCAGTGGCTCCTTCTCCCCTGACTATAAATATGCCCACGTCTCTTCCATCCTTAAAAAAAAAAAAACTCTTGCTTGACTTGTAACCATTGGCCATGATCTTATATCTCTCCTCCACATCTCAACTAAACTTGAGAAAGTCTAGTTATTTCCACTTCTTCTCTCACTCATTTCTATAACACCTATGATCTGGCTTCTGACCTCATAAATCAACTGAAAATTTTCCTCCCTTAAATTCTCAATCCTCATTCTTTTTGACTTCTCTACAAGTCTTGGACACTGATGATGACTCATTCCTCCTAGAAATTCTCTCCTCTGTAGGTTTTTGTGGCACTGTTCTCCCCTGGTTCTCTTCTTGTCCAAATGCTCCTTTTCAGTCTCCATTCCTGGATCTCTCCCCCCCTCCCATCCCCCAAGCTGTCTTTTCTTCTCCACTTCCCTGTTACTGTCAAAGGTCAACTTCAATGACTCATCTCTGCAACCCTGAAATCATACTCGACTTCTCACTCGCACTCACCCCACATAACCAACATGTTGTCAAATCAGGCATTTCTACCTTCACAACAATTCTCCTATATAGCCCCTTTCTCTCCAGGACCACAGCCACCACCCCAGTACAGGTCACCATTATCTCACACCTAGATTACCACTGCAACAACTTTCCAATTGGTATCCCTAACTAATGATTTTCCCCTCAACAATTCACCACCAGTACTCCACTACCAAAGTGATTTCTGCCTTACTCAAACTCCAGTGGTTCCCTTCATTATACCCAAGATCAAATATAAAGTTCTCTGGCATTTCTGGCCCTACACAATCTGGTGCTTTCCTGCAGTTCCAATCTTCTTACACTACCTCTCCTCCATACATTCCACAATCCGGTGATGCTGCCCTTCTTGCTGTTCCTCCATTATAACAATCCAACTCTGTGCCTTTGACCATGGCTATCCCCTCCTCACCTCTGCCTCCTCTTAGCTTCCCCAGCTTCAAGATTCTATTCAAATATCAAAGGTACAAGAGGGAAAGATAAATTAAAATAATAGTAAGGTGGTTTGGCATTGTATGCTTTTAGGTTTTAACATATGAAGTAAAAAGATATAATTATTTGGAAGTTAAAAGAGCTAACTGAATGTTTCCCTTCTCCCACTGGCACCAAAACGATAAGCATGACATCGCTGCTAAAGTGGTAATGAATCATTGGTGCTGACAAGCATTATTACAGGTTCCCTTGTTTTTTAATTTTATAAAAAATCATTATTTCAGAAAATGAAATTCTTTCACAGAAAAAATGTATTAACCTGGTCTGAGGAGAGCGGCATGATTAGACAAGTGCATTAAGAAAATAAAGTGAAAATCAATAGTATACAGCACTTTTGGTTATCTGTTTACACTAATTTTGCAATGATTCACTCTGTGTAAATTTACCATAGTGCTCCAAAGAATTCCTCAATTCAATGCAATGTTCTTTAAGTTGATCTTATAATCAGATGTACCCCAATGCTCAAAGTCATGATTGATACAAATCATTTCCTTGAATTTTTGTGAAGAATATCCACTTTAATAGATGTGATTTACTTAGCATTTACTATGTTTGCACCATTGGGGAACCACTGATAATTCAGATAGAGTGCTTGCCCTTAAATTCACAATCCAGAAGGAGAGAGTAATGGGAAGTACAGGAGAAGAAAAGGCCACGCCAGACACCAGGGGCAGGGTGAAAGGCACAGAGGACAATGAATAGTCCACTTTGGTTAGAATAAGGCCAGAAAAGTAGACTACAGCAAGACAGAAAAGAATCTTTAAGAAGCCAGGGGATTTATGTAAGAGGCAACCTCATCTAGTAGATAAGTCATACTCAGGAAGGCCAGGCTTTGAATGCTGTCTCTGAGGCTTACAAGCTATGCAGACTTCCCTACCTCAGTTTCATCATCTGTAAAATTATGTCACATCATCTGTTATATTATGTATATAAATTGTTATGTATGTAAATGTACAGTAAGCATATAATTACCTGTTATGTTATGTACATAAAAAGCTTTGCAAACCTTAAAGCCCTCTCTAACCGTGGTCTGATCCTGCTGTTACCACCCCCATCACTTTTATCTGATAAGCAAGGGTGAAACACTTCAGATTTCCAAGTAAGAGACAAGCATGATCAGACAAAGGCCTTAGGAAAATTAAGTAAATGCCAACGGGAAGGGAAGATTAGACGTGGCAGACTGGAACCAAGAAGACCAGTTAACAGATCATTACAATAGTCCAGAAAGGTGGTGAGGTGAGCCTGAACTGGGATGGCTTCAGTAAAAAAACAAAAGCAAATCAAAGTAGAATTTCAAGAGACGTTTCTAGAGTACAATTAGCAGGACTTGATTACTGATTAAATTATTAGGATAAGGGCAAAGAAAGCCAAATATAATATTAAGATTATATGACCAGGAGAAAAAGAACTAAGTTTGGGAGGAAAAATGACAAACTCAGTTTTGATAAAATTGAGCTGGAGATATAGGAAGGAGTGGTAGGCAGAGAGAGTAAATGGATATCAAGAAATGTAAGACTGGTACTTGAGACACAGATCTGGAATCACATACACAGAAGTAATATGTCAATGAGGATTCAAGAAAATCACCTAAGAGGGGAGTGTCAAGAGAACAAACTGCCATTGACAGACAGAGCCTTCAGGATGAGCGCCTTTAAGGAGTAGGAAGAAAAAAAGAAATCAGTAAAGGTGACAGAGAAGCAGCTGTCAGGGAGCTATGTTTTTATCCAAGTCATCAAAAAATGTAGAACAAAGGGGAAGTACAGATTCCTAAGTGACTCCAAGCTTTTAATGACCTAATATTCCCTTACTTTTTTTTAAAAAGCCCATCTTTTTTTCTTTTTATTTAATTTTATTTAACTTTAAGTTACAAACTGTCTTCCTCCCTCTCTACCCCACACTACAGGAGACAGCCACCATGTGACACAAATTGTGTATGTTAATATGTCTACGTATATATGTGTGTGCATACACAAATACATGTATTTGTTATGCATACTTCTATTTATCAGTTCTTTCTCTGGAGGTGGATAACGTCTTCCTTCACAGGTCCTTTATAGTTGATTTGAGTATTTATAATATTCAGAATAACTTAGTCATTCATTGTTTTTCAAACAATATAGCTATTACTGTATACAAGGTTCTCTTGGTTCTGCTCATTTTACTTTTCACTATTTTGTGCTTTTCCATATTTTTCGAAAACCAACCTGCTCATAATTTCTTACAACACAGTAGTATTACATCACAATCAAATACCACAACTTGTTTAGCCATTCCCCAATCGATGGGTATCCTCTCAATTTCCAGTTCTTTGCCACCACAAAAAGCTGCTATAAATATTTTAGAACATAAGTTCTTTTCCTTTTTCTTTAATCATCTTGGGAAACAGACCTAATAGTGAT